GAAACTCAACACCGAGGTAATGAAGGGTAAAGGAAAGTCAGTGTTGGTTAGTGGGGGTTGATGGTTGAGGCGCTCACGGGAATCGTCCGTTTTCGTGTTTGATGGTGGGGAACTTTTGTCTTTTAGTAACGGGAGGCTTCTGATCTTCGGTTTGAAAGAAACCAGTCTGGGGCTTGACGATTTAGTCTTGAGTGCCCAATCTTGGCGACTTTTAAGACCTGTGAACTTCAACTCCCAAAATTCCCCAAAATGCTTGGAGGTTCATGGCCAGGCCGTAGTAAGCAAACCTGGTTGCATACCTAAAACCAGGGAATAATTAAAGTCTCAGGGTCTGCCACCCTGTAGAAACAGCCAAGTTTCTAGTCCTCATGGTTGCTCCGAGAGCAAGATACCCAGGAATGCTGGCTGGGGAATTCTGGGAGTTGAAATCCATAGGTCTTAAAAGTTGCCAAGGTTGGACTCTCTTGGTTTAATCCGAGTGGTCCATTTGCTGAGTCGATCGCTCGGGTTTGAAAGCCAGCACAGATTCCTCTTTGGTGGGATCTACTGAGGTTGACATTGTTTTCGAGAATCCCTGCTGAATTTCTCCTGGCGGATCTGGTTTCAGGTCCTTGTAGGAGGGGATAGCAGGGGCTGGTCCTTCAAAAGAAATCCAAAAAGTCAGTTCCGTTGGGCCAAATAAGATAGAACCTTGCGAGAAAACACCCCAAAATGCGAATCACTGCTTGTGGCACTCGTTTGTCCCCTTTGTTGTTGGGTGTTAGGTCTTGAAATCCAGCATGCAGAAGGAAATGACTTTGGCCCAGTCGTCTTACACCTTCGCCTCCTTGGCCCGGACGCCTACAGTACGGCGGATCTCCTGCTGCATTTCCAGCGTGTGGTATGTTTCGGTGGGCACCCTTCCTTCCCTAACGATTTTGGAGCCGCCATGAGGACTAGAAACCTGAGTGTCGGACCTCTGCAAGATTCAGGCAGACCCTGAGACTGATTCGTTCCCTCGTTTTAGGTTTGCAACCAGTTTCGCTTACTATGGCCTAGCGATGGACCTCCAGCATTTCGGCTTCAGCATCTACCTCATCCAGGTGGCCTTTGGTACCATTGATATCCCTGCCAAGCTAGGCTCAGCCATCGGCATGAGTTACATCGGAAGGAGGACCACGCAAGCTTCGTCCGTCATCTTGGCCGGCCTGGCCATTTTGGTCAATATCTTGGTGCCCTCAGGTGAACCATCTGAAGTCGTGCAGGTGCCAAGGGAAGCCATGTTTAGCGCCCCATGCCCAAAATTAATGCGACTGGAATGCCACCAGCTCAGAAACAAAGAACGGAGGTAGTCCTCGGGTTACGACGGCAAGCGGAAGTGGAATTTCCAAATATAAGCAGTGCAGTTATAAAACATTAGTTATGTATAGGCAGTCCTTGACTTATAACCATTCATTTAGTGACCATTCAAAGTTATAACGGCAGTTGCCAAGTCAAGATGGCAGCTGCAACCAAACCTTTTGCAAAACCTGGGAGGCATTAGCAAAAGCTAACATAAAAAAAGGCACAAAAAAGATTTCAACAAGGGGGATATTTTGTTAAACTTAGATTAAGGCTTATCCTTAATCAGGTTATCCAACCTTGCCAACTTTAAGGCTTGTGGACTTCAATTCCCAAAATTCCCCAGCCAGCCATGCTGGGAGTTGAAGTCTACCCATCTGAAAGCAGGCTGGTTGGGGGATTCTGGGAGTTGAAGTCCACCCATCTGAAAGCAGGCTGGCTGGGGGATTCTGGGAGTTGAAGTCCACCCATCTGAAAGCAGGCTGGTTGGGGGATTCTGGGAGTTGAAGTCCACCCATCTGAAAGCAGGCTGGCTGGGGGATTCTGGGAGTTGAAGTCCACCCATCTGAAAGCAGGCTGGCTGGGGGATTCTGGGAGTTGAAGTCCACCCATCTGAAAGCAGGCTGGCTGGGGGATTCTGGGAGTTGAAGTCCACCCATCTGAAAGCAGGCTGGCTGGGGGATTCTGGTAACTGAAGTCCACCCGTCTTAAAGCATGCTGGCTGGGAGATTCTGGAAGTTGAAATCCACACGTCTTAAAGTTATCAAGGTTGGACACACCTGCCCTAAAATTTTATTGCAGCTCCTACCTTCCAACGGAAGGAAAGGATCCCATGAATTTTGACAATATAGAATTCGTTTTAGCATGGAGTGTCTGAACATTCCTGTTTAAATTTTTTTTCTCTCCTCTGCTCTTCACCCCTGACCGAAGATTTACGGACACTGAGAACATTTTTGGCAGTGCTTGGCAAGGGGTGTCTTGCATCTTCTTTCAACTGTCTGTACCTGTACACCGGAGAACTGTACCCCACGGTGATCAGGTATGTTGCCCCCAATACCCCCGAGGCTCTTGAACCCTTGTCTGGTTTTCAAATCTTCATAATAGGGGTCCCCCCACCCACCTACCACCAACACTTCGATGTCTTACTGTGGCATGATCCAAACAAGGAAATTATTCTCTCTTTGGGTCAAGGCTGCATTATCACCAATTACACAACCAATTTCGTTGTATATATGATGTGCAATGACAATAAAGGCTACGCTATATCACACACCTGGTGCACAGAACCAGGAGTGGAAAATCAGCAAAATAAATCTCTAAAATTGTGAATTTGAAGTGGGTGGCGAGATCTGAATCCAGACCCAGGAATGAGAAGTTATACAGGTAGTTCTCGACTTATAACCAGAGTCGGGACCAGAATTTCCATCGCTGAGCAAGACAGTTGTTAAGGGAGCCGTGCCTGATTTAATGACCTTTTTTTGCCACCGTTGTTAAGCAAATCATTCAGTTGTTAAGCGAATCTGGCTTGCCCCACTGATTTTGGTTGTCGGAAGCCACCTGGGAAAGTCTCAAATGACAATCACGGGACATGGCACACATCATAAATATATGCTGATGACGTAAAAACTTGAGCTCAATCGTGGTCGTAAGTCGAGGACTACCTGTACCTGAATTTTGATCACGTGACTGTGGGGATGCTGCAATATTCAATAAGGGGAGAACCCACAGCAAGCCAAGATCAAACATTCCTAAAATGCAGATAGGAGTGAAAATTCAGGCATTTGTTTTTCCTTTCATCATTTCGTGGATTGTGTCCTTCAAAGGCGGTTTGTTACTGTTGCAGACAAACCGGGATGGGGCTCGGAAGCACCCTGGCCCGCGTGGGTGGCATTGTGGCACCCATGATCAAAATGACGGGTGAACATTGTTCCTATCTTCCATCGCTCATCTACGGGATGGCCCCCATCCTCTCCGGCATTGCCGCCGTCTTCCTGCCCGAGACCCTCAACGTGCCGCTTCCTGATACTATAGACGAGGTGGAAGGGAGGTGAGTTTCTTGCACGCTTCGGAAAGCAAGTGCAACGATGCTGATAGGGCTTGGTGGGGGGAAGGTGTTGGACTGGGGTCCAGGTTCGAGTCCTCCTCTAGCCATAGAAGCTCATTGGCTGATTCTGGGCAGTTCCTGCCCGCTCAGCCAGGCTGGTGCAATGGGGTAAATGCCAGACCAGGAATGGGGAGACCCGGTTTTCTCAATCTTGACCACTTGGACTTCAACTCCCAGAATCCTTAGGCTGGTTGGAGAATTCTGGGAGTTATTTAATATATTTTATTTGTATCCCACCTTTATTATTTTTATGAAGAACTCAAGGCAGTGGACATGTCCAACATGGCTTCTTCCTCCTATTTTCCCCACAACCACCCTGTGCGGTGGGTTGGGCTGAGAGAACATACTGTGTTTCCCCCGCAACAAAGACCGGGTCTTATATTAATTTTTGCTCCAAAAAACACATTAGGGCTTATTTTCTGGTTAGGTCTTATTTTGGGGGTAAATACGGTACTAAATGCATCCATCTGGCTGACAATCTTAACGGGCTTATATTGGAGGTAGGGCTTATATTACAAGCAACCTGAAATATCATGCTACGCCTTATTTTCCGGTTGGGTCTTATTTTCAGGGAAACAGGGTAGCTGGCCCAGAGTCAACCAGCTGGCTTTAATGTCTAAGGTGGAACTAAAACTCACTTTAATGTCTAAGGTGGGATTAGAACTCCTGGTCACTGGCCCAAACTCACCCAGCCAACTTTCATGTCTAAAATGAGACTAGAACTTACAGTCTCCTAGTGATTGGTCCAAATTCACCCAGCCAGCATTCATGTCTAAGCAGGACTAGAACTCACAAACACCTGGCAATTGGCCCAAAAGTCATCCAGCCAGCATTCATGCCTAAGGCAGGATTAGAACTCACCGTCTCCTGCTTTCTAGCATGATACCTTGGCCATTGGACCAAACTGGCTCCCCGAATCGAAGTCCATCCAACTTAAAGCACGCTCGCTGGGGAATTCTGGGAGAGGAAACCCCCCACCACCACCAATTTAAAGCATCTCCTGCAATTTCTGCTTGTTTTTAAATATTCTAGAATAACGCCGGAACGACAGTCCCTTACCGTTCAGAGTCAAGAACCAGTTTTGCTCCAGAAATTGGACCAAGGGAGAACCCTGGATGGTGAAATTTGCTAAAATGGGGAAAACGTGGAATTGAAAATTACTGCAAGTTCTTAGATGTCTTTAATTGTCTTTTTTGGGGGGAGGGGGGGCTTTGGGCGGGAGGTGGGATTTCCAGATTTAAAAAAAAAATCAACCAAATAGATAAGAATTGATGAAAATTGTAGTCATGCCTCTCTGATATTTTGACGACTGGACTAAGTCCCATCTCTAAGATGCGCTAATATGCAAGTAGTCCTCAACATACAACCATTCATTTAGTGACATTTCAAAGTTACACAGGCGTTTCTTGACTTAACAAACAAAGGGGGGACTCATTCATACGGAAACATGATTTTAGAATTCTAAACGAACCCGTTATGTGATCACCTTTTGCGATCACCTTATTGAAGTCAATGGGGAAGCCCGATTCACTTAACAACCAGGTTAAGAAAAGCCATAAAACGGGGCAAAACTCACTTAACGAACGTCTCACTTAGCAGAAATTCTGGGCTCGGCTGTGGTCTTAAGTCGAGGATTACCTGTAACATTTTTTTTTTTAAAAAGTGAAAATATCAAGCTTGCCCAAGTTTTTGCAATCAATATTGGAATAATGCATGTCCTAAATATGACTCTTAAACACCCCCCCACCCCAGTCTTGCCAATCTGTCTGGTTTGGCCAGCTTTAAAAAATCTAAACCAGTGATGGCAACCTTTTTGCCATCAGATGCCAAAAGCAGAAGGAGCGCAGGGGGTCACGCACGTGCGTGGCCACACCCATAATCCAATGCGCCCCGCCCCCCCAACGCATGTGCGCATGAACCCCCCCGTACTCCCCCCACTTTTGGCACGCGATGGCACATTGGGCCTGGTAGGCCCGTTTTTCGCCCTCCCCAGACTCCAGAGGCTTTTCTGGAGGCTGGGGAGGGTGAAAACAGCCCCCCCCCCCCCGCCCCCCTCCAGAGGTTGGAAATGGCCTGTTTGCTGACTTCTGGTGGGACAGGAAGGCCCGAAAATCAGCTGTGTGCGCCGGAGCTGAGCTAGGGCAACGCTCGCGTGTCCACCGATATGGCTCCGCGTGCCACAGGTTCGCCATCACGGATCTAGACTGATCAATAAACAATATTGCCTGTCCCCTTGTAGCAGCCGCATTTTAGAGACAAGAAGAGAGACCTTGATATGAAACATAACCGCTTAGAAAAGAATTAAAATCCACACCCGATGGTTGGACCGACACCACAGGAGTAAATAAAAGCAGTATTTATTAGCTAATGCTTATTACAGCCTTAAAATAAAACTGGGGGAGGGAGCCAAAATATATTTCAGCTTCTACTGCAATAATAAAAGATGGGGGTGGGGGGTGGGGAAGGTATGGAAAGTCTCAATATTTGCTTTTTTTTTTTTTTAAAGAAAGCCCAAATTCCAAACCTTAGATGCAATCAGAAGGGTGCACAAATCAATTACTCGGAAAGGAAGGAGAAAAACCAAGCAACCAACTCAACAGAAAATGGGTAGTTGTAGAGGTGGGGTGAGAAAACAAGACACAGTGCAGAGGAGGTGCGAAGCTGCACAACTATTTGTGGGCGTCACAATGAGAGAGAGAGAGAGAGAGAGAGAGAGAAATGAGGTATTACAGCCCGCCCTACCTCCCACCCCCTGCAAACCGACAGAACTAACCTGAGCATGAAAAACCCCACAATGTTGCAGCACTGAACAGATTCACACACTATCCCCCCCCACAACTCCCCAAGCCAAAGAGCCAGGCTACCATAAAACTGGTTCCAAGAAGCCGTTTTGGTTTTTTTTTTTTATTTGGGTAGCTATTTTTTTTTTTAAGACACAGGTGTGATGCTTCAAATGAGGACCTAACAACCTGGATTGGGGATGAGAACATGTAAACCCCTCACCCCACCCCACCCCAAGGGAACGTTTCCACAACTTTCTCTCTTTGTTTGGGGCACGGGGGGTGGGGGCCTTGACAGCCAGCCCCAGCTGCATCTCCCTGGGGTATGGAGAGAGAAAAGAATTAAAACGAATTTAAAAAAAAAAAAAAAAAACTACAGCTAAAAGGGAATCCAGAGCCAAGTTAAGTGCACAAATAATAGTTATCTCTCCCCTACACATAACTCAAGAGACAGTAGAGTTCCCCATAAGGGAACACCTTTTAGTCTTCAAGTTTCAAGTCCTCTTGAAGGACTGAGCGGGCAGTGAAGGTGACTGGATCAAAGCTTCCAGCGGTCACTTTGTTCCTGGCTCTCTTGTGGGCCAAATCTGTCCCACTAGGACCCATATCTCTCGTCCTTTCCCACTATTGGGTGTCCTTCAGCATGCTGGGCCCCCACTGCCCATCATCCTAGATAGCACGGCGATCAAAGCGAGGCACCGAGTCAAGAAGGCTGATCTCTCCTGCCAAGCAGGGTAGGGAGAATCAAGGAGGAAGACGCCACCGGCCTTAAGTTCGACCTCACATCAACAAATTCCAGCACTTGTGTGCGGACTAGATCCCAGTGAGCGCGACAGAGAGAGAGAGCAGATCCCATCTGCTTTGGCAGTCCCGAGTCTCCCCTCGCTTTCGGCAAAGATGGAAGAAGAGAAGGAGCCTTTGGAGAAGACGCGGAAGGATGCGTGTGAAAGGGAATGTTGGAGGTAGGTTTTAAAGACAATCTTTAGAAAAATCAGGCACATTACAAGTATAATATTACACAAAAACCCTATTCCAGAAAAAAGGCCTCTCCTTCTGCAAGCGGGATCTTGCAGAAAACCTTGCCACTGGAGGGGAGGGAAGGAGGAAAAGGAATGGGGATTCGGATTTTTTTGTTTTTGTTTAATTTAAAAAGCATCACTTGTCAAGCAAGACCAAATCCTCAAATTGGGGCCCGAGGGGGAGAGGGGAAAATAGTGAAAAGAAAAAAGGGGGTTTGTTCCTGCAAGAGAAGTTCAACACCCCGGAGTCCCATCGGACCAGGAAGCAGCAAGAGTTGGAAGAAAAAGCATGCAGGAGGGACGTGGCTCACTCTAGGCCTCTGGTGATGGAGACTCAAAATAGATTTTAAAGCAGCTTATTTGAATAAGCCCAAAGCTTTAGGGCAGGGGTATCCAACCTTGACAACTTTTAAGACTTGTGGACTTCAATTCCCAGAATTCCCCAGCCAGCTAAGACTTGTGGACGTCAATCCAGCTATCTTGGCTGGGGAATTCTGGGAGTTGAAGTCCACAGGTCTTAAACTTGCCAAGGTTGGACACCCCCTGCTTTAGAGTCAGCATCCACCCAAAAATTGCCCAATGAACCACCGCCCTTGAAGTCTTCCACACAATTTACACATCCCGGCGGACTCCCTGAACGAAGGAAGGGATTAACGCCGGTGTGTTAAAAAGCTTGATGGAGCTTTAAATGCTCGTGCACACCAACACACGCGCATGGAAGAAAGCATCTTGAAATCCACCGTCACGTCACATGGATCGACGCCATGTGGGATTGGTACCCAAGGCCCCATACTTAAGGAATTTGGTAAACGAAGAGGGGAAAGTGATGGGATACACACTCTCTTCCCCTGGATGTAAACCGAGCAGGATTTTCCTAACTCATTCAAGATGCTGATTTGTCAAAGTCCGAGATGATCATTTTGAATGGGGCAAACCGAGTTACTTTGCTGAAGCGCTTGCTTGTGCCAAGCCTGGAGGATGGCCTTTTGATTTGGGTTCCCATGCCACCCACAATCCTCTCAAATGGCTGCTGTGGTGCCATTTTTGAACCATGCTTGGGGGAGGGGGGGGCTGGGGCTGGGGTGTAAAATAAAGGTTTCTTACAGGGACGAAGGAACAAGTGGAGTTTAGAAGATTTGGGGTTACGGGGGTGGTGCGATGGGGCTGAACAGAGGAAGCAGATGGAAAAAAATCAAGTAAAAACCATTCAATAGGTTTCTTTTCTTTTTTTTTGCTTCCGGTCTCGCTTGTACAGACAGAGCCCTCAAGCTGGGGTGTGAGTGAGAAAAGAAGGAGCATTTCATGCTCCCAGGCCAGCTGTGGTGCTCCTCAACCTATCATGGATGCTGGGAGTATTATTATTAAAATATTATTATTGAGAAAAGGGTCTCAAAATCCTTAGGTTAAGGTTTAAGGGGGAGGGGAGGAATTTTAAGCCCCAACTGCCAGAGAGGAGGCAGGGGGGAATGACAGAAGGAGACATGGTGAGGCAGAGGTGTGTGCATGTGTTTTGTGTGTGAGTGTGTGTCTGCGTGCGGATGTGCGATCCAACCAATAAGGGAGACACTGACCCAAAGTGGGAGGAGGAGGAGGAGGCGGCAGGAGGAACTGGATTAACCCCCCCCCAAGAGAAAGACTGGAGAAGTGAAGGTTCTCTTCGAAGACTGGAAAGTGATCAGGAGGCGTTCTGGTTCTGGAAGATTGAGGCTTTCTCCTTCAGCAAATCCAGGCAGAGGTGACAGCTCCAGCTCCCTGCGAGGAGAAAAGCATCTTCGTTATTCAAGCGAGTGAAAAAAAACTGTGTGTGCGGGTTAGTCCTTGACTCACGACCGTAATTGGGCCCCAAATTTTCGGTTGAGAAATCTGCCGAGCGAGTTTTGCCCCATTTGATCACGGTTGTTAAATGAATCGGGGCAGGTGTTTTAAGTTCTCGTGGTTTTTAAGTGAATGTGTGAATTCCCCCCAAGGACTTTGCTCATCAGAAGGGTCGCAAAAGGGGATCACGTGAACACTGCAGCCGTCATAAATGTGAGTTGGCTGTCAAGCGTCCGAATATAAACCATGCGACCACGGGGATGCTGCAACGGTCGTTAAGTGTGGAAAAAAAGGTCACTATTTTCAGTGCTGTTATTAACTTCAAATGGCCACTAAAGGAACTGTTGTAAGTTGAGCACTACCTATCTAGACCCGTTCCAGTCCGGTTTCAGGCCTGGGTACAGCACAGAAACGGCATTGGTCACATTGGTTGATGATCTCTGGAGGGCTCGGGACAGAGGTTGTTCCTCTGTCCTGGTCCTGTTAGATCTCTCAGCGGCTTTTGATACCATCGACCATGGTATCATGCTGTGCCGGCTGGAGGGGCTGGGGGCACCATATTACGGTGGTTCTCCTCCTTTCTCTCTGACCGGTCGCAGTTTGTGTCGGCAGGGGGGCAGAGATTGTCCTCGAGGCGCCTTATGTGTGGGGTGCCACAGGGATCGGTCCTCTCGCCCCTTCTGTTCAATATTTATGTGAAGCCGCTGGGTGAGATCATCCGTGGTTTTGGGGTGGAGTTCCATCAGTACACTGATGACACCCAGCTGTACATCTCCACCCCAGGCCATCCCAACGATGCCCTTGAAGTGATGTCCTGGTGCCTGGAGGCCGTGCGGGTCTGGATGGGGAGAAACAGACTCCGACTCAACCCCTCCAAGACTGAGTAGCTGTGGCTCCCGGCATCCCGATATACCCAGCTGGTGCCATCGCTGGCTATTGGGGGCGAGTCATTGGCCCCCACGGAGAGGGTTCGCAACTTGGGTGTCCTCCTGGACGCGTGGCTGTCTTTAGAAGAGCATATGACGACCGTGGCCAGGGGGGCTTTTTATCAGGTTCGCCTGATCCGCCAGTTGCATCCCTTTCTGGATCGGGACTCCCTGCGCACGGTCACTCAGGCCCTCATCACTTCCCGACTGGACTACTACAATGCTCTCTACATGGGGCTCCCCCTTGAAGAGCATCGGAGGCTCCAGCTGGTCCAAAATGCAGCCGCGTGGGTGATTATGGGGGTGGCGGGCGCTCCCATGTAACACCTCTCCTGCGCGAGCTGCATTGGCTCCCAGTGGTCTTCCAGGTGCGATTCAAGGTGTTGATTAACATCGTTAAAGCACTCCATGGCTTAGGACCTGGGTACTTACGGGACCGCCTTCTGCTACCGACAGCCTCCCACCGGCCAGTACCTCCCCCACAGGGTGGGGCTCCTCGGGGTGCTGTCGATCAGACAATGTCGACTGGCGACCCCCCGGGGAGAGCCTTTTCAGTGGGGGCTCCTGCCCTCTGGAACGAGCTGCCCCCGGAGGTACGGAGAATCCCGGACTTGCGCACCTTCCGCCGTGCCCTGAAGACTTTGTTATTCCAGCAAGCCGGGCTAGCCTAATTTAACGGTTTTAAATTTTAAATTGGATTTTAATGGGATGTTTTAATTGTGGGCCAAAGTATTTAATCTGGTTTTAAATTGTTTTTAACTTCTATATTTATGTATTTGATCCAGGTTGTTCATCGCCCTGAGTCCTTCGGGAGAAGGGCGGTATATAAATATAATAAATAAACAAACAAATAAATAAATAAATAAATTGTGACTCAGTCCCCTTTCTCTGCTTATTCCCATTCCTTTTAGGTTTCTCGGGTCAGAGCAGAAACTTATGGGTGGTAAATCATAGAGTCACAGGCCTGGAAGGGACTTTAGAGGTCTTCATAGAGTCACAGGCCTGGAAGGGATCTTGGAGGTCTTCTTAGAGTCACAGCCTGGAAGGGACCTTGGAGGTCTTCATAGAGTCACAGGCCTGGAAGGGACCTTGGAGGTCTTCATAGAGTCACAGGCCTAGAAGGGACTTTAGAGGTCTTCAGAGTAACAGGCTTGGAAGGGATCTTGGAGATCTTCATACTAGTCACAGGCCTGGAAGGGACCTTGGAGGTCTTCATAGAGTCACAGGCCTGGAAGGGACCTTGGAGGTCTTCATAGAGTCACAGGCCTGGAAGGGACCTTGGAGGTCTTCATAGAGTCACAGGCCTGGAAGGAACTTTAGAGGTCTTCAGAGTCACAGGCCTGGAATGGACATTGGAGGTCTTCATAGAGTCACAGGCCTAGAAGGGACTTTAGAGGTCTTCAGAGTCACAGGCCTGGAAGGGATCTTGGAGGTCTTCATAGAGTCATAGGCCTGGGAGGGATCTTGGAGGTCTTCTAGTCCAACCCACTACCCAGACGGGAGTCCTGATACCATCCCAGACAAACCCAGTCTCTTCTTGAAAACCTCCAGGGATGGAGCACCCACACGGATTAACTGTTCTCACTGTCAGGAAATAGGGGCTAGCGATCCAACGTAAGCTGGTTTGGGACTCTGTGGAGATGAGCAAATCATTACTGCCAGGTTGGCATCGATATGTCAGATTCTCAGGCAGAGGTCGTTACCTCCTCCAAACTAATGTTTAACTGGAGATGTAAAGATTAGTTGCAGGAACTTCTAAACGGGACAATGCATTGGCTCACATCCTGTGGGCCTATGCCATGGAGCTGGGATGGTTCTGTGTGCGTCATCTCATTAGAAGACAAGTTGCAACAGGAGTGAAGGCAGAGAGAGTGAGAGAGAGAGAGAGAGAGAGAGAGAGTGAGAGAGTGAGAGAGTGAGAGAGTGAGTGAGAGAGAGAGAGAGAGAGAGAGAGAGAGAGAGAGAGAGAGAGAGAGGGAGAGAGAGAGACTTTCTCTGCATCTCTAATTTAACTGGAGCCGTCACGGCCCAAGTGTGACTCATGATTCTCTTGTCGAGTAATGTAAAAATGAAGGAAGGGACTTTTTGAAATTAACAGGAGCTGAAAGGATCCTCTCAAATCCCTGAGTCAGCCCTGGCTCGGGAAACAAAGCGCTTGCTACAAAGCCACCATTTTGCCCTGTCATGATACAGGAAGGGTTGGCAATCTTTTTAAGATGGCAGCGTGGGTGCGTGTGTATGAGTGCACGTAACATATGTCTTCATTTTGAACTTCCTTTCTTTCTTTCTTTTCCTTCCTTCCTCCTCTTTTTAAATTCCTTCTTTCCTTCTCTTTTTAAACTCCTTCTTTCCTTCCGTTTTTAAATTCTTTCCTTCCCCTTTTTAAACTCCTTCCCTCCCTTTTGAAATTCCTTCTTTCCTTCCCTTTTTAAACTCTTTCCTTTCCTTTTTAAATTCCTTTCCTTCCCTTTTTAAATTCCTTATTTCCCTCCCCCTTTTAAACTCCTTCCTTCTTTTTTTCCTTCCCTTCCAATCCCTTTCCTTCCTTTTTCAAATCAATTCCTCCCTCCCTCCCCTTCTTTCATTCTCTCTTAATTTATATGCTGCCATTCCTCCAATAGGATGACCCCGGGCAGCTTGATACCACATGAAGTTTCATAACGGAAGGCCAAAAATATTGTAAATTGGAGGCTACAAGATTTGAGGCTTCAAAATGCTATTTCTTTCATAACAGTCAGGGGCTGGCCAGTTCTTCTGGGAACATTCACAGGCAGTGAGACCCTTAATGGAACAGGTCTCTAACCTGCAAGGTAACTTTTCCACATTTTGATTTTAAAAAGAGAATGAGCCACAGCAGTGGGCCTGGGGTCTTTCCTGATGAGCTGGAACTCCAATTTCAGGGCAGCCAGGGGGAGGGAGGGAGGGAGGGAGGGAGGGAGGGAGGGAGGGAGGGAGGAGGAAGGAAGGAAGGAAGGAGGAAGGGAAGGAAGGAAGGAAGGAAGGAAGGAAGGAAGGAAGGAAGAAGGAGCTCAACAATTCTGGGGTGCACAGCCCTTCGCAACTCCAAAATCTCGCCTAGGTGAAAGGTGGGGGAGCCACAAGAAAGGGAGCAGAATAGCACTCACCTTCTGGGGGTTCTGACATAGGTGGGGTGAGGCAGTACATGTGATAACCACGGTCACAATCGTCACAGAACAGCAGCTGGTCCTGAGGAAGATGGGGAGGGAGAAACAATGAAGAAGGATGCTGTTTAACTCCCCCTGCCTGTTGGACTGGAGAAAACAACATCGAGAGGACCCTTTCTTTTTATGAACCCCAAAAATGTGACCGTTCCCGGCATGCAAAAGACCCCATACTTGGAAGGCTCTCCAGAATGGTCAGACCAGGTGAGGTTGGAAGAACCTGTTTTGAGTTCAAGGCAACTGTTTTCAATTTAAGAGGGGTTCCCCCCACCATCACCAAAAAGCTCCAAGCAATTGATACATTCTTAGACCCTGGCCAAGTTCACAGCATAATCGTCACCCAGCAGCAAATTACACAGCTGCATTCCCCCCGAGATCCTAAGCTGGGTTCAATTTTTAGCAGCCCGGCATGATGCAGTGTGAATCTAGCTGCTCAATTTAAGATGCAACGTACAGCAAAAACCCAGAAAATGAGTTCTCAAGAATTAAAGGAGGAGGGCTGGGTGTGAACCACCCAGCCCCAATTAAGGTCACGTTTTGAAACAGGCTGCAAACCAGAGAGCCATTCAGGTTTTGTGATTCAAATATCAGGTTTAATCTTGGTCTTCTAGGAGGAGCCATCGTAAGTAGCAGGCTTCAAAAGGATCTGGGATCAGAGGTGGGAGGAGGGAGAGGTCAAGTCCAGAGGAGAGGAAGCCGGGGGGGGGGGGTGTTTGTCCCCAAAAGGAAGGAGAGGGGCAGGAAGGGAAAAGCACACTCACATCGTTCTCCGAGGTGCCGCAGATGTTACAGCACTTGCATTCGATACACTGCCAGCGGTAGGTCTTCACGGCAGCCATCATGACTGGGGTGAACTGCAAGCAAGATGGGTGCCCTAGAGATAGAGAAGCAGCATTAAGACATACCCACCTTGCCCTAAACAGGGACGCTCAGTGGCTAAGAGGCTGAGCTTGTCGTTCGAAAGGGTCGGCAGTTCAGTGGTTTGAATCCCGAGTGCCGCGTAACAGGGTGAGCTCCCGTGACTTGTCCCAGCTTCTGCCAACCTAGCAGTTCGAAAGCACATTAAAAAAAATGCAAGTAGAAAAATAGGGACCCCCTTTGGTGGGAAGGGAACAGCGTTCCGTGCGCCTTTGGCGTTGAGTCATGCCGGCCACATGACCACGGAGACGTCTTTGGACAGCGCTGGCTCTTCTTCTTTGAAACGGAGGTGAGCACTGCCCCCTAGAGTTGGGAATGACTAGCACGTATGTGCGAGGGGAACTTTTTCCTTTCCCTAGGAAAGGTGGGTGAGTTATCTGGCAGGTGGACAGCTAAGGTGAAAGAGAGCCTCCCCCCCACATGTCCTTTTCTCAAGGGTGAACCCAAGGGGAAGAGAGAAGGTTCCCATCGGCTCACGTACCTGATCGCCCGCAGTCCGAGCACGAAACCAGCTCTTCGGGTTGCCCCGTCTTCTTGTTGATCTTCGAGTCTCCCAGACAAAAGTCGCAGTAATTATTGGGCAGGGCCAAGCCATCGGGACCCTTCTTGGCTATGGGGGAGGAGGAAGGGGTTTGTCTTTCAAAGCACGGCAGAGAATTGTCCTGTTTAGTAGTCCAGCTAAACCCCAAGACACACACACACCAAAAAACAGGCAAATCCTGCAAAGAAAACTTTGGGCAGCGTAACTGAGAGATCAAAAACATAACTTGGGCCCAGCAAGTTTCCTAACATACCGTATTTTTCAGAATATAAGACGCATCTTAAATTTGGGGGAGGAAAATAGGAAAAAAAATATATTTCCGCCTACCAGGTATTCATCTGGCTAGCATCCTTAGCCTGGTCAGCTTCAGCACATTAGTTTGTTCTCTGGTTTTGAGGTTGGGGCTTAAAAAGAGCTTCTAAAGCACAGCTGTTCTTCGGAGGGAGCTCTACTGACTAAAGCAGGCCAAATGTCGAAGGGGTTTGTTCCAGGTAGCCATTTTGGGCACATTTGGAGTACAAGACGCACCCAAATTTTCAGCCTCTTTTAGGAGGGGAAAAAAGTGCCTCTTATTCCCCGAAAAATATGGTACATATTCATTGCAAGTTATTTCTGTTTTTTTTTAAACTTCGGGAGGTCACCTTGGCGTGGTCCCCTCCTGCCACCACTTAAAAACCACCCGTAGCTGAGCCCATTTCTAACCGCGGTTGGTAATTGTAGCCTGTCAATTCTCATGGTTGGGAGGCGGGCCTCAAGGCAGCCCCACGACCTTTTCGGAAAATGGAAGGGCTAGGGAATTGGCGGAGGAGGAAGAAACACCCCTTGCTAGAGAAAGTTCCCATTGATAAGCATTAATTGGGCAAAAGAGAGCTGGAGCCCCCTTTCGGACTCCGGCCACTGCAGGTGATTTGAAACAAGAGAGCAAGTGAGGAGTTGGGGAAAGAAGGAGGGAGTGGAAGGTGACGAATGCCAAAGTGGACAAAATGCAACCTGACAGCAAGACTGTGCCACGATCTCCATTATGCAAGGACCAGCAGGGCCAAACAAAGATTCTGCCCTGATTCACAGGGGATCAGGATGAATGGCAGCATAGAAAACCGGCTTCCCCCCCACCCCCGATTCGAAACAAGTCAAAGGGAGGGACAAGAAGATCTCTGCCGCTTACTTTTCTGCTCCTCTGATCTCTGTGAGACGGGCGTGGGGGGTTGAGAGTCCTCCTTGTCCTCCCCTTCTTCTTCCGCCAGGTGACAGTGAGCGTAGTGATAGCTCAGGCCCGGACGGTTCTTGTAGCGTTTCCCACAGACTGAACAGGAAAGGATCAGAAGGAAACACTTGAGAGACACGCCGGCTGTAAAAGAGCAAACCCCCCCCCCACTTCTCCATGTACCTTCTTGGCAATACCCACCAGTGGGGGCTTCAGCCTTCATTGAAATGCCACCCTAAAGCACCTTGCTTGCCTGCTTCCCCCAAACAGGTAGTCCTCCGTTTACAACCGGCCACTTAATGACTGTTCAAAGTTACGACAGGCCTCCTCAAGAGCTATGACCTATGACCTATTTTTGGAGTTACGACAGCTGCGCACCCCCACCCCGTGGTCACATGATCGTTTTTTGCACTTTTGCAGCATCCTGAGGTCACTCAAATGCGATGGGGACATTTTTTTTTTTTTGCTGGTTTTCAGCGTTTTCTTCTGGTTTCCAGCAAAAAACCAAGGAAAAAAAAACCAAAAACCACCCATTGGGAAAAATTCGCTTAACAACTGCTGCATTCGTTTAATGGCTGTTGTTACAAATGATCGTAGCTTTGAATGCGGTCACCTGATGCTTCGAACGACGGCTACAATGACTTAACGATTGTAATTCCGGGCTCAATTACGATTGTAACTTGAGGACTACTTGCACAGAAGTGGAAGGGGTGCCTATAGTTGCACAGAGCTGGTAGCAGGGTGAGAGGTATTCTCTCCTCTCATAGAGCAGAACCTGATTCCTTCAGCGACACCCAGGTTTTTTGCCCTGTCACCTTGGTCTAGGGGACTCGGCAAACTCCCAAGGCAGCTCATTCAGGGCCACAAGCAAAACAGCCATTGGCCAATAATAACGGAATGGCCAACACTCCGCACCCCAACCCAGCATTGCAAACAATCCACAGAGTGCATGCAGACGACGGATGGTGAAATTCAACCCTCTGGTTTTCGTGAAACAAAGGGGACTGAAATTCTACGGATGTTATCTGATGTCCAAAAAGCAAAGGTTAAGGATATTCAATGGGCAGCGAGGACGTTTTTCTGCCTTTCCACATGTGCAGGATAATGTGTCTTGGGGGGAGGAAGCATGTTTACTCAAGACTCCACCCTTTACGCAGTTCCTCCCAAATCCCAGGTATGACCCCGATTTGGCATTTCTCCCTTCCCAAATCCAGCCTTTCCCTGTAAGTTATTTTTCAGAAATATCCCTATTCTAGACTTTATTATAATTAAGCCTATATCCCTGTTAGACTTCTCATAATTAAAAGACTTGCATAAGGTTTTTTTTTAATCCCGATTCTATTTTTTGTTCTCTTCCTTGTGCCAAATTTTGGCTCATGTGGTGCTTGGAACACGAAACCACCCCCTGGACTTCTGGTGCAGCCTTGTGCTTTCTAGCTTACAGTATTACTGTCAGTTTAAGCCCAGCCTGGGCAAATGAGCGTGCAAAAGCTATACACTGGTTGAAGAGCCTTGGTAGTACAGGGGTTTAAGGCACCCTGTTATTAAGCTTATTAAGACCAGCTGCCTGCAATTACTGCAGGGTTCGAATCTCGCCAAGGCTCAAGGTTGACTCAGCCTTCCATCCTTTCTAAGGTAGGTGAAATGAGGACCCAGTTTGTGGGGGCAATAAGCTGACTTTGTATAAATATACAAAAGGATGAAGGCTATTGCTGAGCACATTGTAAGCCACCCTGAGTCTTCGGAGAAGGGCGGCATATAAATCAAATTAAAATAAAAAATAAAAAATAAACACTGGTTAATGCATTTTAGAGGTAACTGGGGGTGGGGTGGAGTGGGGAGAGAGAAGAGAGATCCCTTCTTCTGCACCCAGCATGGTAATGCTTTAAAACTAGCTCCTTATTTAAGGAAAAGCACGGCATAAGCTTTAGCTTTTAACCACTTTTTGACTCTGGTCATAAAGGGAAAGGTGGGTGTTAGTAGAACAGGGAATTCTGGGACTGGAAGATTAGGAATATGCCTGCCTCATATTGCTGAATGACAGCTCTCAGCATCCACCATCAAGGCCATCCAAGGTGCGTTAGTTAGCAACATCAGTGAGTCCACAACTATCTACAGCCGGGGTCTCCAAATTTGGCAATTTTAACTCTTGTGGACTTCAACTCCCAGACGGCCTTGCTGGCTGGGGAATTCCAGGAGTTAAATGCCAGAAGTGTTAAGAGTTGCCAAATTGGGAGACCCCCGTAATCTACAGAAAGAGGCCTGGGCTACATTTTAGCTGCTCTTTTTGTCTCTCAACAGAAATGCCACCTTCCTCATTGCTTACTATCCTTCTCTGCAAATTACTGGAAGGAAGACGAGCTGATAGAACTAGCTTTAGAATGTGCCAGGAACATATTCAGAGGCAAAGGAAGCAGAACAAGTAATCCATCACCTTCTTTGGGGCTCAAATTAATCCACGAAACAATACATCCTAAATCTGGAAAACAGCTCAGGAACAGGAACAAGAAAACAGACCATATTTAGAGAAGGAAGCAGTAGAGCTGCCGGGTGGGAGGGAAGATGGTGGCGGATAAAAAGAAACAAATCCTTTCCAAATCCTTTCAGCTATGTAGGTCTCACAACTCGGGGATGTTTCGGTATGGATGATGTGTGTGTGTACACATGGAATGTGTGTGTGTGGGTATGTGTGTTTGTCCAGCGATTGGAAATCTAATTTGCCCAGAAGAAGAAAAAAATCACAGCTCTCTTAAGGATTGCGTAAACCCAGCTGATTATGTAAAGAACTGGAGCTAGTAGGCCCTGCTCCTCTGTGCAGCTACTATAGTCGGCAACCAAAATGGATATGGAAAAAGATCTGACTCGGTTCATTTGCTGGTGGGATAGGAAAACCCAGCCCTTCTCCTTCAAACTTACAAGTGTACGTTCCACAGAAGAGGAGCAAAGGCAGAAGGGGAACAGATCCTGACTGTTGCATTTCTGTGACCAAGGATTGTCTCTCGTTATCGCTATCAACAGCTGGATTCAGGCTTAGAACTGTCTTTGTCAGGGAGAAAGCCAGCAGGACTGGTGACACAGGTAGTCCTCAGCCTGTCACAGTTTATTCAGGGACTGTTCGGAGTTACAACGGCACTGGAAGAGGTGACTTATGACCGTTTTTCGCACTTACGACCCTTGCAGCATCCCCACGGCTGCGTGATCAAAATCCGGATGCTTGGTGACTGGTTCATATTTATGACGGTTGCAGTGAGCCAGGGAGGGCAGGGGTGTCGCTGCAACCCTTTCGTGACCTTCTGACAAGCAAAGTCAATGCGGGAGCCAGATTCACTTAACAACCGGATTATTAATTTAACAACTGCAACGATTCACTTAACAACCATGGCGAGAAAAGTCGTAAAGTGGGGGCAAAACTCACTTAACAAATCCCTCACTTGGCAACATACATTTTGGGCTCAATTATTCTTATAAGGTGAGGACTACCTATATTCCCAAGTCTGTCAGAATTGAGCACTTCCCATTTTTTTGCTGAAATCAATAGATTTCCAACAGATCCAAGAGAAATCCAACTGATTATCTAGGATCACCTAGGCCGCTGAGAAAGAAAAGAACTTCTCCAGCAAATAGCTCAGAGGTTGCCTAATGAAGGGAATGAAGACCGAAGACTCAGGCGTTGGGCTATTATTAACAGAATTTATAAAACCTGAAGACCTTTTGCCCTGTTTCTGTGCTAACAAGTCTTCTCAGCTGGAGAAGGCAAAGTCCCAACTCAGGTGCTAACCCCCACTCCATGGGGCATGGGCCCAGCAGGCCGGTAGAAAAACAATCTTCTCTTTTAATGCCAATTAAGATAATTGGTATATTAAACAGGATTCGCAGATTCTAGCAACGATGAAAAGTAAACACAAGCCCTTGCCACGTCCAAAATCTTGCAGAGCAGATTTGGAAATGCAGCTGGTCGGAATTGATGCTGGGGGTTTGCCGGTTATGCTCCACAACAGTGTTTTCTCAAGACGTGTGGACTTCAACTCCCAGAGTTCCCCAGAAACCATTTTCTCTTCGGCCTCGCTTTGCAAAGCTTGACAACTATCTCAAATCCGTCCTCCTTCTAGACGAAAACGTTGAATTCTCAACTCAACATTCACCACCACACTTCAAAAGAATTTGTATCTTTCCCAAACGCACAATTCGTGCACCAATGCATGTTTCCCACCCGCCCCTCTCAATATGTCACATACATAAAACCAAAGTAGGTATCATCGGAAGGGAGGGATTTTTGGCACTCTGCACGAGAAGACCCGGGGGGGGGGGGGGAAAAAAAAAAAAAAAGGGGGGGGGGGAAGTGTTTTTAAAAACGAACATTTCAGAAGAACAAGATCAGGAAGAAATTAAACAGCAAGACAGAAAGAATGGAATACCTCGGTCAGGAGGTTTCGAGGTATGCTTTTGTTTGTAACTATCTGAAACACAGAAAAGAGAATGAGAGAAAAGTGAAGGCAGTCTGTAAGATCACGCACGTAACATGCACACAAGTCAGCTATACAGAGCGATTAAAAAAAGGAGGAGAGAAAAATAAAAAGTCAACTAGTGTTATTTCAAATTAAGAGAGGCCAGTATAAAATTCTTACAGGAGAGTAAAGGAGGAGAGAAAAGAAAAGAAATTTCAGGAGCTCATGAGATTTGCCCTTGGGAAAAGGTCTTGCCAATCACCCTTCACTCCCAACTTTTCCATTAATCACCAAGGTTTCATGGGCATTTTTTTCTTTTTCTTTTTTTTTTTGCAAAGATCAAACAGTTGTGAAATGTGGAGCCAAAGGAGACGCTGTCTACCATAACTCTGGGGTCTGCGTGTGAGGTTCAACAAGATACAAATAAGACTATCCCCCCAAAAAAGAAGCAGCAGCAGCAAAGCCCAGGGTAAGACAGCTTCTCCTCCCTTTGCTCTGTGTGTGGGTGGGTGAGATCCAATTGTAGGATCTGCCAGAAGAAACGGGTTAGAACTTTTCCCAGAATCCCACTGGTGGGACGGAAAAAGGCACAGCGAAGTTCCCCAACTCAGAAGTGAATCCGTTTCCAAGATGCTCTCTGAAGGGAGACAACTTCAGGCAGCAGAGAAGCGGCCAATGTTGTGTGTCTCTGTGTCTCACTGAACTCATCAGGGCAAAACTGAAAAAAAAAACCTCTTCAGGCAAAACTGCCATTTTTGGGAGAGGGGGGGAGGTCAGGTAAAGAAATGTTACCCCCTTCACACTGCGTGATGAATGACGCATTTCAGCTCACCCCGAATGGCTCTCAGCCCACTGCACGATTAACAGGGGGCCAAGTAAAAGGAGGTGGGGGCGTAGCCAGCCTGTGGCACACCTTCCCAGGAGACCCCCACCAGGGCAATCGCACACAGCCCCATCCTAACACCAGGAGCTACTCCTGGTTTATACACCAGTAAAATCGAGAAGCTGTTTACTATAACCCGGCTCGCCTTCTTACTCACTGTCACATGCGTAAGGTTTGTCTCTGTCTTCCAAAATGGCAGCATCCAGCTTTTTCCGAGCACTCCCAACTCCTTTACCCTATAAGGAAATTAAGATTATTATTTTTTTTAAATTGAAGATAGATGCACAGTATGCTTTCTTTCTGGGTTTGGAGTAAAAAGTACAATCTAAGATGGAACCGCATTCCAGTTAAGTATGCATTGTACTGTATCTGATTTGTAGTTCTCCCTCCCCTCTCACAGAGCGGAGAGATTGGAGAGAAGGGATTTGAAGAGAGTAAGCTGTTCAGTCTTCTGCAGTCACGACATAAGCCTAAGACTGCAAATCAGGCTTGTCAGATGCTACATCTTTTCTATCCTGCTCTACGGAGTGGAGAGTTGGTCTCGGACAAAAAAGCCACTTGGAAGAGACTAGAAGCATTTGAAATGTGGATTGACAGGCGGCTGTTACGTATAACCTGAGTTGACAAAATCCGAAAGGAGGTGGTGATAAGCCGCCTGGGAAAGCCAAGGGAAATCATCAAAACCATAAAAAAGTGAAAGTTAAGACTATTTCGGACATGGGATATGTCCAGAAAAATTTGGCATCCTTCATTTAATCCTCCAAGGAAAGATTGAAGGCAAACGAGGTCCAGGCAGAAGAAGATGATCATGGCTTCAAAATCTAAGGGACTGGTTTCAACAAAACTCAGCAGCACTTTTTCGTGCGGCTGCTGATAAAAATAGGATCGCCAATGTCCGATGACGGATACGGCACTGGAAGGAGAAGCTGTTTGTGTAGCATGCCCACAGCTCCCAGTCCCAGGCTGCCAATGCAATCACATTGCCTTCAATGGGTACAAGACAGTAAAAGCAAGCATTTGAGCATTCCAAAGGAGAGGGGAAGGGTTAGGAGGCAAACAAAAGATGAAGATATGAAACTGAATAGTCTCGTCTGCTTTCAGTCAGAAAGCACAGTTACGGTCATGAGATTTCCTCATGTCGCGACCACTTTGCTTAGGGGCAGAGTTGTCAGTCCCAATGAGCGTTAAGCGAGGGCTTACTTGCATGTAGGTGGTTAGTTCTGCTAATCATACTAAGAAAATATGTAGACCAAGGCTGCCACCCAGTGAAAGTTGTTTGTAACAATCTTAAATATTTATTCATTTCTCTAAACCAGTCTAAGATCTTTTTTCAGATGGCAGATAATAATAACTTGGATTAACCAAGACTCAGAATTTTGATTTTTATATGCTCAAGAGTAACACCTGCACCCAGCTAATGGCTTCTACTTTAAAATACCTGCCTCCCCAGCATCTTTTGGGACATTTTAAAAAGGTAAAGTTTCCCCTCGCACATATGTGCTAGTGTTCCCAACTCTAGGGGGCGGTGCTCATCTCCGTTTCAAAGCCAAAGAGCCAGCACTGTCCGAAGACGTCTCCATGGTCATGTGGCCGGCATGACTCAACACCAAAGGCGCACGAACGCTGTTCCCTTCCCACCAAAGGGGGTCCCTATTTTTCTACTTGCATTTTTTTTTTTACCTGCTTTCGAACTGCTAGGTTGGCAGAAGCTGGGACAAGTCACGGGAGCTCACCCCATTACGCGGCACTAGGGATTTGAACCGCTGAACTGCTGACCTTCTGATCGAAAAGCTCAGCGTCTTAGACACTGAGCCACCATGTCCCTTTTTGGGATACTTTAGGTATTTCCTAAAACCCTAGTAAGACCACACCTGGAATATTGCTACCAATTTTGGTCACCATACTACAAAAAAGAGGTTGAGACTTTGGAAAAAGTTCAGAGAAGAGCAACTAAGATGATCAAAGACCTGGAGAGTAAAACATAGGAAGAACGGCTGCAGGATTTGGGGTTTGGCTAGTCTAAAGAAAAGAAGAATTAGGGGATGACATGATAGCAGTCGTCCAGTATTTGAGGGGCTGCCACAAAGAAGAGGGAGTCAATTTATTTTCCATAGCACCAGAAAGCAAGGCAAGAAACGATGGATGGAAACTAATCAAAGAGAGAAGCAACCTGGAACTGAGGAGAAACTTCCTAACAGTGAGGACAATTAACCAGTGGAACAGCTTGCCACCAGAAGTCACGGGCGCTCCATCACTGGATGTTTTTAAGAAGAGATTGGATAGTCACTTGCCTGAGATGGTATAGGTTCTCCTGCTTGAACAGGGGGCTGGACTAGAAGATCTCCAAGGTCCCTCCCAGCTCTAATTCTATTCTATTCCTTGCCTAAAGTGTTCAGAGGCCCTCTTTACTCTGCCTTAGAGAAGCCTATGTAAGATTCAGTGAGCCCACGGAAGTTGAAATATAACTCCCTACCTTGGCCTTTCCTTTGCCTCGTCGTTTTGGGGTGTCTTCCTCGTAATCTTCATCATCCAGATCATCCAGGAAGTCATCGGGTTCCAGGATCCGCTGAAACAAAAAGAAAAGGGTGCAAAAAGCTGTGAGAAACGGATTGTTTGGTTCATCCAAAGGAATATTCCCGTGAAATCACAGCTCTGCGGGTGTCGGGTGCTGTGACAAGCTGGCTGATTAACAACCCCCCTTCGTCTCGTCAATCAATGCATTAATAGCTTCGCTGTAAGAACCAGGCAAGCCCAGTTTGCAAGCAGCTGTGCAGGAGAAATGCTAAGAGCAACAACATTCTTGCTCCATCAGGGACCATTTTCAGTGCAGGTTCTGAATCCAAAAGCAGATACAGGTAGTCCTCGGCTTACAACAGTTCATTTAGCGACCGGTTCAAAGTTACAACGGCACTGAAAAGAAGTGACCCCTGCCTGGCCATTTTTCAGTTACGACCTTTTCAGCATCCCCAGGGTCACATGATTTACATTCGGATGCTCGGCAACTGGTTCATATTTATGACGGTCGCAGCGTCCCGGGGGGTTACGTGATCCCCTTTTGACTTTCGGACAAGTAAAGTCAACGTGGACGGCAGGTTCACTTAACAACCGGGTTACTAACTTTTATCAACTGCAGTGATTCACTTAACAACTGAAGGAAGAAAGGTGGTAAAATGGGGCAAAACTCACTTAACAAACATCTCACTTAACAACAGAAGTTTTGGGCTCAATTGTGGTCATAAGTCGAGGACTACCTGCACAGCCTGAATGATAAATAGGACTTGAATAGGATCCAGAATATTGCCACTGCACCTCTAGGGTTTTTTTTAATATCATCGAATAAATATTTTGTGCTCTCTCTCAAATATATGATGGAACAAGTGTAATTGTATGCTGTGGTTTTCCTTATTCCCCTACTGCCGTGATGGCGAACTTATGGCATGCGTGCCACCTATTAGTGGGCACGCGAGCTCAGCTCCGCCAGCTGATTTTCGGGGCTTCTGGGCCCACCAGAAGTAGGGAAACGGGCTGTTTTCAGTCTCTGGAGGACCTCCGGCAGGGTGGGGAAGGCCGTTTTCGCCCTCCCCAGACTCCTAGAGAGGTCCTGGAGCCAGGTGAGAAAGAAAAACGGGCCTATTGGGCCACTACATGCCAGGAGCGGGACGGGAGGGGGAGGGGGGGTGTCGCGTGCGTGGGGTCAAGGCACATAGAATTATGGGTGTGGGCACACACACACACGCGACCCCCCCCGCCCCCACCCTCCTGGCACGTGTTGGCAAAAAGGTTAGCCATCACTGTCCTAGTGGCTCCATATAGATAGGCCTCAAGTTACAACAGTTCATTTAGTGACTGCTTGAAGTTATGACGGCCCTGAAAAAAGTGACTTCATGATGTGTTTTTCACACTTACCACCATTGCAGCATCCCCACGGTCACGCGATCAAAGCTCAGGTGCACAGCATACTTATGACGGCTGCAATGTCCCCGGGGTCATGTTATCAACTTCTGACAAGGGTAGTTTATGGGGAAACTGTGAGAGTAACTTAGGAACTGCAGCGATTCATTTAACAATTGTGGGTGAAATGGGGCGAAGCTCACTTAACAATTTTCTTGCTTAAGCAACAGAAATGTTGGGGCTCGATTGCAGTCGTTAAGTCGAAGTTGTTAAGTCGTAGAATCCTCGTCCGAGGCCTCTGTATCTCTTTGCACTGAATGTTAATGATCAGCACGAACCAAGGGGGAAAGGGAGTCTAAAAACAAGTTCTGGTTTCTCTACAGCAGTGTTTCTCAACCTTGGCCGCTGGACGATGTGTGGACTTCAACTCCCAGAATTCGCCAGCCAGCTCTGGGAGTTGAAATCCACACATCGTCCAGCAGCCAAGGTTGAGAAACACTGCTCTACAGGATCCCAGCACCCAGAAAGGAATGAGGGGTGATCCACTTCTAATCCCTCTCCCAACAGGAGTTCCACATCACTATTCTCAAGGGGAAGAGACCAGAGAGTTCTCCTACACAGCCCTCAGCCAGAGAGACAAGAGTCGCCTGACAGGGAGGTGGGTAGCATATGAAGTTAATAAATAAAATACAAATGATTTATTCTTGGCAGCTTTGTATTATTATATTTTTTAATTTTAACTTTTAATTTTCCTTTGCTGGCCAGAGCAACAGTTGAGTGGCGATAAGAAAGCAGGAAGGGAAGGGAGGGGAAGGAAAGAGAGAAAGAGAGGGGGAAAAGAAGGAAGGAAGGAAGGAAGAGAAAGAAAGAGAGAGAGAGAGAGAGAGAGAGAAAGAAGAAGAAAAAGAAAGAAAGAAAGAAAAGAAAGAAAGAAAGAAAGAAAGAAAGAAAGAAAGAAAGAGGAGAACAATATGTTCTATACATGAGCATCTTTCAAAGGAAAGATGTTTTATTTTATCACAGGCTGCCATTCTCTACACTACCTTCCGGGTGCGGCTATTGGCAACGGGGAACTCGCTGAGGCTGTCTTCATCGGTACGAGGGTCAGGCAAGCTGCGTTTCTCAAGGGGGTCTGTCCTTAAGAGGGCCTCCAAACTGCTGCCATCTTGAGAGATTAAGCCTTCTTTCTTTAGGGCCTGCTCAGTGTCTGCCAAAAACAGAGATTTCATTGTCTTAATACCATTAAGACAAAGAATCCAAACTACCAATAAAGGAGAATATTTGTAACTTAAGGGTTGAAATGAAAGGGTCCTTGGTGCTCTCTTGAGTTCGGTTGTTTTCCTGCAGCTGTTTCATGACCCAATCTAGGTAACAATATCAATGATGTTACCTAGTTTGGGTAAGGAAAACATCTGCAAGAAAACAACCATGCTCAGAGAGCACGAAGGACCCCATAGTCCTCTCCTCCTTCCCCCTCCCCTCCGTCCTTTTTAACATTGATGATGTTCCCTAGTTGGGTCATGGAATGTCTGCAAGAAAATAACCAAGCTCAGAGAGCACCAAGGACCTCTCCATCTAAACTTCCATTATCTTGGCCAAATAACCTAAGAAAAGTTTGACAGGCACCACAGGCCAATGCAGAAATCTATTAGGTCCTAACACAAGAATGACATGATCTCTTCTGCCACCTTTAAAGTTCGATCTGCATGGAAATTCTTACTTGCAACCTGACATTTTTAACACGTCTGGCTGTCCTGTTGGTCCATTAGTATACAAGTAACAGGATACAAAGGTTACTTTTCTGTGGCTGATTTAGAACTACAGAGTTCTCGACTTCTAGCCCATCTACCTGTCCAAATTACCCCCGGAATTTTCCTATTCTGTAACATATGCTTGGATGATCACTTTGGCCAGGTGAAAGCTCTGTTATGATTCCATCTGTAAATCGTCAAAATGTAAAACTTGGTACAATACAGATGAGGCAAACCTGGTTTAATGGTAGGGAAAGAAAGTCTTGGATCCTCTGGAGGATGGGAACGGCGTTTTTTCCGCCAACGTCGAGCCGGATAAGAATAGAGCTGGCCAGACGCCAAACCTTCCAACAACAGGAAAAAGAGGAAATCAAAGTCTGCTTAATTATTCAATTTATATATAAAATCGGGGGAGAGGGAAGCACTTATAAAGTGAGGCAAACTTTATAGCAAACTCTTCCGGTTTGGAGTACTGAACACTTCCGGCAGCTCTCTTTGCAGGAATCATTAAGTTGCCCAGAGTTACTTGATAGCTAGATGGGCAGGATATAAATTTAATAAATAAATAAACATAAAAAATCAAGTAATTTTACTCTATACCAGCACTAATTCATGCTGAACGAACTGAAGCAGGAAAGCTGCCACCCGGAAGTGACATCACAGAATTGACATCCTGGGTAGAGGCCAAGTTTTCATATGCCATCCTGATGCCCCACCTGGTCCCCTGTGCCGCTTCTCCATCCAAATGTAGCAGTTGCTCTGCGCCACCCCAGTCTGCGAATCCAGGAACGGTAATCGGACACTCCTTTCGGCACACAGCCGGGCGTTATAATTGTGACATTGCTCCATTGCATCCTTGTAATATTGTTCACCAAGGCTAGGACAAAAGATTGGGAGTGACACCGTTAATGAAATGTCTTTCTGTAGTACGACAGTGTTCATTTGGGGGGGGGGATGTTTTAATATAAAGAGAGAAGTTGGAAGTAAAATTCAGCAAAAAATTTATTTGATTTCATTTAAACGTAATTACAACTCAGTTGTGGTGCTGTGGCCTAGAGGTGGAGTTCTCGCCTCACAATCAAGAGGCTGTGAGTTCGATCCTAGGTAGAGGGAGATATTTATCTCTCTGGGCATACTGAGAATATATCTGCTAAAAAAAACTCTGCATTGGTGACAGGAAGGGCATCTGGTCAGTAAACACTCTGCTAGCTCCATTCAGTTGTCCAGACTCCACTCCACAAGGGATTATGGGGTTATTAAAAGAGGATGATGGTGATAATTACAACTTAGTTGAATATGGGCTGGCCACAACCCTTCTGCATTTTTCTTTCACACTGAAAAGTACAAACCAGCCCCAGCTTTTGGGGGGAATCTGCATTCATCTTTAGGGACTCTGATTGTGTATCCCTGCCTGAATTACTTCTCTGGGAGGCACTAAATGAGTTTGTATGTCAACATAAAGCTATTTTTTTTTTAAAGCATGATTTATTGTTGAAGCTATATCATCTTGATTCACTCATCATACTTTACGGTAAGTGTATCACATTATCGCTTATTCTGATGATGAACCTGCCTCTATTTAATCCAGGAAACTATAGATGGATGATCTCACTTCCTAAGCATTACAAGAAACCACCCCAGCAGGATGGATCTTTTGACAGATTACAAATATTGTATTTCATTCACACAGCTGGCACTTCGCAGATATTGTCATAATTAAATGCGAAGAGGCTGGTTTGAAATTCAAATTATAAGCTCCCCCCCCTTTCTCCAGAACAAAAGAAGCACCTGTGGAGCTGGCATTGTATATACGGCAACTGTCTTTCAATCTAGTAAATTCACCGAAGAAAGAAAATGCCCAAATTCTATTCAATAAATCCATTAGCAAAGAGGCTTATGATGGAAAGTTCTAAGAGAAAAGAATGCAGAAATATCTAAGAGTACACAGCTTGCATTTTCCCCTTGTTCTTTAAAAATCTGTGGTGCAGCAGCAATGAAGTCTCTCTAATTGAACAGTCCATAATTATAGTAATTTCAATGTTTAAACCTTGCCACACACTAAAAAAGCTGAAGGAGGGTGCAGAAAACAATGCAACTTGCTTGAAAGAAAGTAACATTACAACTTTGCTGTCTGGGGAGGAAACCAAAGAGAGGGAGAGAAAATTAACTAGTTAAATCAGAATCCCACTATGTTTACAATGTTTTATATTCAATCTTGATCAACTATCAACTGAAACATCTTAAAGAAATTTAGCAACACAAAACACACACACACACACACACAAAATGACCTTGGCTCAGTTAGGACCCACAATTTCCTCAACAAAGAGCATGGTTTGTTCAGAAATTTGGGATAACACATAAAGCTCCTGGTTTTAACCATCTCTATTGAAATTCTTCACAGGATTCAGAAATACCTGAGTAAGAGGACTGTTTTTATAATTCTGCCCAAACCTTCACTAATTTGAGGATTCTGACCATTTCAGTTCCTCTCCTTTTCCAAGGCCAAAATGCAGCATCCTTTCAAATGAATAAACATATTTTCTATGGGGAAATTGCTGCCCTCCAATTGTGTCCCTCCATCTCCTTCCATATGTTTAAGTTTTTATTTCTCTCAAATATTTCCACTCCACCCATCTGTTTCATGGGTTAAGAGGTTTTTTTATATCCTGCCTTTCTCATCCCAAACCAATTCCTATAAAAAGCAGATGGGATGTTATGATTGTTTGCCTCACACAAAAAAAATATAACAGCATTCCCAATCATCCAATTTGGTCTTTGAAGATGGAATATCAATGCATTATATGTAATTCTCTTTACTTTCCCTAATCAAGTCAGGAACATTTGAGGGCTGTGGGAGATTGAGAAGCTGCACACAACACAACCTGCAACTTCATAACACTTTTTCACTGGAAATAAGCTCTCCCAAATCAACTTCAAAGTGATATTTCAAATGGAAAGAATGAGCTTGTTAAACTTGTACCATTTTATTTTTAAGACAGCTACTCTCAACTCTCCTTCCACCATTATTTTGAGTGGCTATGCAAGTGGCTGTCAAAATGAACAGAATTAACAGAGTTGGAAGGGACCTTAGAGGTCTTCTAGTCCAACCCTCTATACAGGCAGACCTCGATTTGCAACAGTTCATTTAGTGACCGTTGTTAAGTTACAACAAGAGCTGAAAAAAGCGACTTACGACCATTTTTCACAGTTACAACCGTTGGGAGAGTTCATTTTCTCCAAAAAAGCGGTCTCAAATTTGATTTATTTCGACTCATTTTCCTGGTGAGGTTTGCCAGGAAGACAGATAGGTTGTAGCAAAGGGCAGGTTTAGGATGATGGGAATTGTAATCCAACCTACCAGGTGGGAGATGCTCCCCAAAATTTAATTTCTCCATTTTCCCTCTTCCCCCCCTTTTCCCCTCAGAAACCTACTCCTTAAACACATTATATATATTATATATTATAAAATATATTATATATTATAAAATATATATATATATATATATTATAAAATATAATATAAAGGATATTTTTTCCCTTGCCTCCACAAGTTCCTCTCACCATCTACTTCATTTCATTTTAGCCTTTTTTTGAGGGGGGGGGATTTACCTGAAATTTCCCCTCAGAAGATTCATAATTGGGGTTCGGTTTTTTTTTTTAAAGGTGTTTTTTTTCCTTTTTGAAAAGCTCCTCCCCATCTTTAAAAGGCATCTTAAAGTGGCCGGATGGTCTTTTTTTTCCCCCCTCACGTACCTCACTTTTGAAACTTTGAGGTGGGGGGACACTTTTGCTTTCTTGCCGCCCCCCCCCCAAAAACATACATATACACACACATATATACACACAGAGAGAGACTCCGTCCGCTTTTTTTAAACCCACTTTTTAAAGATATCGCTTTAGTCCTAAGCAACGAGCACAGGAAAAAAAAAAGATTCAATAAGCTAAGCCCTCTCCTTCCATTATCCCGTCAGGAACACCCCCGCGAGCGGAATGGACTCTTCCCCAACAACCCTCCTGCGCGCACTTCGTCTAAGGTTCGGGTTGTACCATTGCAAGCAAAAGGGAGGAAATGGGGGGAGGGAAAGAGGGGACAGTTCCACTCACAGCTTCACCACATTCTGTACCACCGCCGCCATCTTCCCCTCTGCCGCCTGTGGACGCGAAGCACGCGAGGGCGCATGCGCCGAGGGCCCGTTCGCGCTGACGCCGGCGACCGCTCTCCATGAAACCTTCCGATCAGGTTCGAAGACGGCGCATGCGTAATGTGGCCCCCAACTCGTCCTCACGCTCCAGGAAAAGAGAAGGCAATTACACCCACGCTCGTCCCTCGGTGGGAGATTGCAGGGCGCAAAGGACGCGCAGGCGCAAAGGAGGCCGTCTACAAAAATTCCATTCACGTGTGTTGCGCATGCGGCACGTCCGCGACCGAGGGCGCATGCGTGAAAAGTTGCTCGATAGAGAATTAAATTTTCGGTTTAATATTTTGTAATATTTAGAGAATCACTTAAAAAAATGCCCCTCCATATATCTACCTAGAAAAAAAAATAGTAGGCATTTTAAATGATGGTTTTCTTTTGCAAATACATATTAATAAAGTTGTAAATTTATTTATAATTAATTATAAATTAATGTAAATGTAAATGTAAATTTTTTACTTACATTTAACTGTGGGCTTACATGACAGTTGGGAGCAGAGCTAAGCAAGGAGATTGTTAAGTGAATTGCACCCCAATTTTTAATATATATTTTTTTGCCATGGTTGCTAAGTGAATCACTGTAGTCGTTAAGCGGATCAGACAGTCGTTAAGCAAATCCAGCTCCCCCCATCCCATTGATTTTGCTTGTCAGAAGTGTCTAGGAAGATCACAAATAACCCCGGGGACACTACAACGGTCATAAATGCAAACGCCTGAATTTTGATCGCACGTCTGTAAGGAATGCTGCGATGGTCATAAGTATGAGGACTTGTTCCTTTCTTCAGTCCCGTTGTAACTGAACGGGTTGCTAAACGAATGGCTGAAGGTCGAAGACTACCTGTATGCAAATATACATGCATACTTACGTTGAAGAGTTAGGATGAAATGCACCACTGGTTAAAATTATACTATTCTTAAAAGAGAAAATACAGGTAGTTACGGCATCCATCCTTTGCACTAAACGAGCCGCTTTCTACCGCCAGCAGTGCCAAAGCTGGTCACGAAGGGCTGGCAGTGATGGGAGTTGTAGTTCCAACATCCAACTCCATAAGAAAAGAAGAATTGGGGGTGAAATAGTAGCTGTGTTCCAATATTTGAGGGGCTGCCACAAAGAGGAGGGGGGTCAAATTATTCTCCAAAGCACCCGAAAGCAAGAAAAGGAGCAACGGATGGAAACTAATCAAGGAGAGAAGAAACCTGGAATTAAGGAGAAATTTCCAATTAATCAGTGGAACTGCTTGCCACAAGAAGTTGTGGATGCTTCATCACTGGAGGTTTTTAAGTGTCCCGACATCATGCAATTCCCCTTTTGCGACCTTCTCACAAGCGAGATTCACTTCACAACGAACTGAACACCTGCGGGGGTTCGCTTACAAACTGTGGCCAGAAAAGGTTGTAAAACGAGGCGAGACTCCTTTGTAACAACTGTCTCGCTAAGCAACAGAAATTTGGGGCTCATTTATGTCGTCGTAAGTCGAGGGCTACCTCTGTATAAGGATCGGCTGTCAAGCTTGCATGTTTTTTTAAAAAAACCTCTGAATAGTGAAGACGGATTAAGAGGCACCGAGGAGGGATTAGAATTCTAATCGCTCGATTAATCCATACTATAAAAATAATTCTACGACGATTAGAGCTGCCATTGAGAGATAAGATGCATGTTATAAGAAACTGGAAGCTGTTGAACAGAACAAAATAACAGAAGAGTTGGAAGGGGTCTTATAGGTCATCTAGTCCAACCCCCGGCCAAGCAGGAGGCCGTACACCATTTCTGACAGATGGCAGTTTGTGGACTTTCTACGTGTTAAATAAATACAACAGATAGTGAACCGAGCGATTTGACTGTTGCCTGTTTTCTCTCTCTCTTCTTTTCTACATTTATGATTCGATATGGAGTCAATTTGAATTTTATTTTTTATTTTTTTAAATAAATGTTATTAGAGCATCAAAAAGAAAAATCAAAAACAAATCTATAATAATTTTTCTATCACAGTGTAACATCGCCAAAATATCCGTGTATATATACACCAGTAATCAGAGAGTAACAATAGAAAATATTTACAGATTCTTGTATACAAATTTACCTTTCCAATACTTATTGATTACTATAAATATACAATCATCTATAATAAGAGCCTTGGTGGCGCAGCAGACTAAAGTGCTGTTAAGTAGCACCAGCTGCCTGCAATTACTGCAAGTTCGAATCTCACCAGGCTCAAGGTTGACTCAGCCTTCCATCCTTCCGAGGTAGGTAAAATGAGGACCCGGATTGTGGGGGGCAATAAGCTGACTTTGTATAAAAAAGAACATCGCTGGGGGGGGGGGGCGAAAGCCCTACTAAGCAGATATATACAAAAAAAAGTATGAAGGCTATTGCTTAACGCATTGTAAGCCACCCTGAGTCTCCAGAGAAGGGCGGCATATAAATTGAACCAATAAATAAATAAATAAATTATAAACCAAAGGATAATGTTGAGTCAATTTGAATTTTAGATAGATTCTCTCATCTATTTGTTTATTGAATATGGTATTATTCTCAAACATATACCAGTATTCTTGTCAAATAAGGATGGGAAAACTTATAACTACAGGCAAATCCTCGATTTATGAGCCCACAATTTGTGTTGCTAAGCGAGACATTTGTTAAGGGAGTTCTGCCCCATTTTACGACCTTCCTTGCCACAGTTAAGTGAAGCATTGCGGTTATTAAAATTAACATAGTTAAATGACAGTTCTTAATTTAACTTAAATTCACAGTTAAGTGAATTACTGCAATTGTTAAGTGAGTAACCCTCTTGTTAAGTGAATCTGGATCCCCCATGGACTTTTGTTTGTGAGGAGGTCGCAAAATGGGATTGCGTGACCCGGGAGGCTGCAACTGTCATAAATATGGATCCGTGGCCAAGCATCTGAATTTGGATCACGTGACGGGCACAGGGATGCTGCGACGGTCGTTAAGTGTGAAAAACGGTCATGTCACTTTTTCCACAGCTGTTGCAACTTCGGTCACATAACAAAACTGTTGTAAGAGCGAAGATAAGATGGCGGCAGAATGCCATGTTCGATTGATTTCTCTATTTATATTTCCTCCTTTTTCCAAACCGTTTGACTGACAGCTTTATTAGCCATACGACAATTGCACTTTCATGCATCTTGAGCTGTTGTTGCTGTGTGGCTCCTGGCGGGACGTAGGGAGGGGATTAAATAGCATTTTCCCTGCTTTTAAGTGGCACTTTCAAGCCAGGAGGTGGCAGACAATTGTCAAAATTAATCTGATCCCTTCCTATAATTATTCTAGCGGAGCTGTGTGAGTTTATGCCAGCGGTTTGCAAAGCACGGTTTAAGGTCACCAGGGGGGGGTCCCCAAAAGACCCTTTTACTGAGGTTTCAGACAAAAAAAACCCCCCAAAAATATATTTTTAACATTGCTCATTTTTTATTTCTAACACAGTACCTATTCCAGGTAGTCCTCGACTTACGACACCATGGAGCCCAACATTTTTCTTGCTAAGGCAGGACGGTTCTTAAGGGAGCTTTGCCCCATTCTTGCCGCTGTCGTTAAACGAATCGCTGCAGCCGTTAAAAGAGAATCCGGTGGCCCCCTTGACTTTGCTTGTCAGGTCGTAAAAGGAGATTTGTACATGACCCTGGGACGCCGCAGCCGTCGTAAATAGGACAAGCGGCTTGAATTTTGAGCAAGGTGACCACGGAGATCCTGCGATGGTCGTTAAGTGTGAAAAAACGGTACTATATAAATGTACATTTATGATGGTATGTGTGAAATCAGTCAAATGGAAAAGGAAGTGTGTATAAATAGAAAATCGGGGCTGCTTGGATACCACTTTGGAAAATATTGAAGATGAATACAAGAATGGAGAGAGAATGGAAAGAGGAGTAGAGGGATAGAGAGGAGGGGAGAAGAGAGGAAGGAGAGAGGAACAGAAGAAAGGGAAAAAGGAGAGGAAGAAAGGGAGGGGGAATAAGAGTAGGTTAGAAAGGGAGGAAGAAGGGGGGAGTGGGGGAAAGGAGAGGAGGAAAGAAGAAAGTAGAAGATAGAAGGAGGGAGGGAAGAGAAAGAGAGGAGGAGAAGGATTGTAAAATAAGGGAGATGGAATGGTAGAAGAGCAACCCAAATTTTTTAGGATGAAGAATGAACTAATATGAAAGTTAAAAGAGAATGTGTATGATTAACAATGGATAAGAGACTCTACATTTAAGACATGTTTATGAGAAATAAAAATTTAAAAAGATTCAAAAAAAGTGTGAAAAAAATGGTCACAAGTCATTTTTTACAGTGCCGTTGCAACGGTCACTAAACGGACTGTCATATGTTGAGGGGATTTCTCAACCTGAGGGATTTTTTTAAAAGAGGTGCGGACTTCAATTCCCAGAATTCCACAGCCAGCCTGGGAATTCTGGGAGTTGAAGTCCACCTGTCGTTAAAAGATGTCTAGGCCGAGTAACAGCGTTGTTAAGTGAATCGGGCTTCTCCGTCGACTTGGCTTGACCGAAGGTTGCAAAAAGGGAATCACATGACTTTTATTATTCGTCAAGCATATATAATAGATAAAAAGTATAAACATAATTTTGAACACACGAAAAGGATACGAGTAAAAAGGGGCATTAGGACAGCGATTTTGGGAAACTCCGTCCTAATTAATATTAATTAGGACAGTCCCTAATTAATTAGGACAGGGACTTTGGGAAAATTCTGGCCTTGGTTGTGGTTTTATTGATCAGAGGATTTTTTGTGTCTCCCAAAAACCCTTTTAACAGTCGCCTATCGCTAAAGGGTTCGTGTGAAGATTCAGATCATTTTTTAAAAAATTTAGAGATGGCCAACAAAGGTTTTTCCCCCACCACCACTTTAAATATGCAGTTAGAATGTTCCTCGTGCGTTTCTAAATGTTGGGAAAGGAAACTGGCTGCATAATTTAATTCTGAAAATTGCCTTTTTGACCATGCATTGGATTAAAACCAACATTCTTTCGGTATCCTTTAGGAATTCTGTGCATATCGTATGTTTTTTTTCGTGGACCAGCTGCTTCGAGACACTTTCTTGGCATATGGAGCAGAAAAGAGGAGGAGGGGAAAGGAAATAAATTCCATTTATTTATCCTCCACGTTGATAATTCATTCTGTTTGCTTGTAAGGACTTTTTAAAAGCCCTCGTCTTTGGGAAAATAAATATGAGGGATATTGGTTTGGAAGGATAAGACGGTTTATCCTCTTCTATAGAAACATCGTTGGAAATAAATGTTGTTTAAGGCGTTTCTAAAGTTTGTATGAAATCATCTATAGATAGTCCTCGGCTTAGTGACCATTCAAAGTTACAATGGCACAGGAAAAAGATGATTTATGACCGTTTTTCATACTTTAAACCCTTGCCACATTTCCCCCCATTGGCCAAATGATCGAAATTTGGACACTTATCTCAATAAAAAGGTAGGATTAAATAAAGGTAAAGTTTCCCCTCACACATACGTGCTAGTCGTTCCCAACTCTAGGGGGCGGTGCTCCTCTCCGTTTCAAAGCCGAAGAGCCAGCGCTGTCTGAAGACGTCTCTGTGATCATGTGGCCGGCATGACTCAATGCCAAAGGCGCACGGAAAACTCTGTTCCCTTCCCACCAAAGGTGGTCCCTATTTTTCTACTTGTATTTTTTACCTGCTTTCGAACTGCTAGGTTGGCAGAAGCTGGGACCAGGAACGGGAGCTCACCCCGTTAGGTGGTACCGGGATTCGAACCGCTGACTTTTCGATCGCCAAGCTCACAGAGAGCGGTCAAAATGTATTTTAACATTTTTCTTTAGATAAATAAACCAAAGAAGTTAATTGAATGGCAATAGAGGCTTGTTGGGGGGGCCTTTCAGCCCAAAATTGCTCATGGTTTGACACACACACACCCAAAAAAATTGTCACCACCAAATAAAAACAACCCAGCATTGACGCAGCTCATTTTAACACCATTTTAATTTATGCTTTTATTAACTTTTTACAATGTCTGTTAGTGCTTAAGGGAGTAGAACGGCAGGATATATATCAATCAAATTTTAAAAAAATAACAATCAAAAGGAAAGGCATCTTGGCACCATGTACTTCGTCGTACTAGCAGCAAAACAAAAAAACAAACAAAAAAAAAATGGCAAATTGCTTTAGAAACCAATAGCTACAGGGGTGAAATGCTCTGAAGTCTGCTACCGTTTCGCTTCGCTACCGGTTTGTTTCACGCGCACATGTGCACTCCAGGCGCCACCGCGCAGCGCTGAAAAATGAGGATTAAGAAGCCTTTTCGGAGTCTGCAAAGGTAAGAACAACGGCGAGAGGGGGAACAGCTGTGCTGCGCGATTTAGATTCGCTAGAAAGCAAGATTTCCCGCTTTTCGAATATAAATCGCGCAGCACAACTAATCGTCAGAAATGCCGCTTTGCCCGAACTGGTAGCATTTTTTTTACTACCGGTTCGGGCAAACCGGTCTGAACCGGTAGCATTTCACCCCTGAGTAGCTATTGTTTTTAATAGCCACCATTCCTAAAGTTGAACTTAAACTTAGATATGTACACATTAGGCTAAGCCAGAATTTAACTATTGTTTATTGAAAAAAAAAGAAAACCATGCCACATAAACCAAGATTTTCAACCTACAACGGTTGGAGGTTCACACAGACTATGCTAAATTCAAACACTTGTGCCTTAAACAGAGGTCGGACGAGATCTGACCTCTCGGTTGCTTTAAACTTGGATCTTTTCAGACGTGTGGGCTTTAACTCCCAGAATTCCCATTGGCTGGGGAACTCTGGGAGATGAAGTCCAGCCAGAGAACTCTGGGAATTGGAAGTCCGTTGCAGTTTAAAAGTTGCCAACTTCGAGAAACACTGGACTAGATGGTCTCCGAGACCCCTCCCTTCCCACCTTTGAAAAAGCGATACGGCGGCTTAGCGTGTTACGTGAAACGAAAAGTTGTGCGTGCGTTTGCAGAAAAGGAAAAAGGACTCTGGATAACAGCAATTGTACGATTGCTTTCCTTTTTAGGCCCATCATAAACTCGCGACCTGCACATTTTGTAAATCGATGCAAATATTATAAAAGAGGAATTTGCAGTTCAGCAAAACCAGCTAAAGCTTTTAGCCAACTTCTCTTTCTTGGAAAAATTGGGAAGACCGACAACGTTTCTCTGCCATTTCGGCTTCTAAAACGCCCCTCCCCTGACAATTTTCCTAGGATTTGCAAAACAAAAAATACTTTTTTTTTTTTAAAGGCAGAGTTGTGGCGACATCCAGCTTGGCTTATGGTTGGGTTGGGAAGCGAATTATCCAAGTCTGCATGTGTGGTGCGAAGATTAAGGTGCAGAGGAGTAAATTAAAATGAGTGAAGTGACTCAAAATAGAACTAGAGCTTGTCATTTGAAAAGCCTGCCTGTGGGCACGCTCACAAAATGTCTACCACGGTGGGCAGGACCAGGTGCGATAAAGCGCTCATCGATCAGCAGGTGAGGCAGGCCCCCCCCCCAGATGTTGAAGCTAGTGCAGCAGGTCAAATAATCTAATTATTTAGAAGGATTTTTGGCAGGCGAGACACACAGAGAAAGGAGACTCAAAGGCATTAGGCAGGCCAAGTATAAAATGACTGGCGACCAAAGAAAAATTCAAACTAGAAGAGCAGATTTTTGCTCCTTGTAGTAACCCCGGTTAAAGGGATTTTAACTCAACCGTCCAAATGCAAAAAGCGTAAAACCTAAAATGCCTGGAGGCCAAAATATTGCAAAAACTACACAGCTTGGTTTGGTCATTCAGGGAGGCCGAATGAAAGGGGGGAAAAAAATCAGGAGACCAAAAGGAAAATATTTCTGCGGGCAGCCAGAGATAAACGGTGGAACTCCCTGCCCCAAGATTATTTAACGCAAGATGGAAAGAAAAAAGTTGCCTTCACGCACTGCACTAATCTGCAGCCGATTTTGGCTGCTCTGTGTTGTGCAAACTCAGCTGTTGCAAATTGCAAAATACAACAGGACAATATGCCCTTAATTGCGGCTCATCCATGATTAAATAAACTATAATTCAATTCAAACTCTTTTAACAAAAGCTAAACCGATCTTACAGCGGCTCCCGGCTTAAGGGTAGGACAGATTTGTGAAACTCCCCCACTTTTGCTCATTTTTAAAAAATAAAACTTAACTTTGAAAGGGGGGATAACACGATGACAAGAAAAGAGAGTGTGTCGATTGGCAACGGTTTTCTGCTTTTTATCTTTTCTTTTCCTTCCCCCTAAGCTGAACAATAAACCAGCTGCCCTAGGAAAAACAGCAGGGGCTGAAAAACAGAACAGGGTGCCCAGAAATTAATTGGGAACATTATAAAACCACCAATGCTCCTCTTATCTTTTTCGAAACATGGGATACAGGGAAGCTTCTCCTTTCCAAATTATGAGAATTTTTTTTTGCTTCTGGGGTTTGAGAGCAAAATTTGCAATTGTTGGGCACCTCGGCAAAAATCACAATAAATCTCGCTGCCGGTCCGATTTTAAGAGGCCCTGCTGAATTATTTTCGAGCTGTTTTAGACCCCCGTTTCCTTGGCCCCGAGATAACCGGGTTCAAATCTGAAGCACTGCCTTTTTCTGCGTCTTGAAAGGGACCGGCAGCCTTATGCAAGAGAGATGCTGTGAAAATCTCCGAGCGAAAACAAGCTTTCACAACAACAGATGGACTAGGATAAAAGGAGCGTGAGGACACCCACTAAGGGACAAAGCGTTCCTTTGTTGGGCGAAGGAAGGATTTATTTGTGATTCTCTTGCAAACAACGCTCCACAAATCTTTCTAGGTTATCCTGGACATGGAAGGCAGATGTCGGATAAACTGTTAAACAAGGCTCTTGGGGAAGGGTGGAAATAAAGAAATGGAAAATAAATAAAATCAATGGAAAACGGGGAGACACCCCCCAAAACAGTCCGTTTTAGTGTCTCATCTCATCCGTACCTGTGTTTTTCTGACTTGGGGTGTGCAAAGCTCTCTCTCTCTCAAAAAAAAAAAAAAAAAAAAAATCACCCTTCCCATTTCTGCAAAAAGAGTTGAAAACTCTTAACGTTGCTAAGTGGCTCAACTTAACATTGAATTCAGACAATATGGTGAAAATTGTGGCTTTGCCAGGGATCGCATCGTTTTCCCGTCAAGGAAAAAAAAAAAAATACAAAAAATATATCGCAATTTGGCAGCCACGAATTGTGACGCTGGGAAAATTTGGAGCATCTGTTCCGGCATTCTCTGATGCTGTACAGCCAGAAATTGTGCAAGCTACATTTTTTTTTTTTTTTGGCTTTCTGCATTGTGAAACCCGAGGAGTGCTAGGACACTTCATTGTTTTAAAAAAAATCAAAAACCACCGAAATTTAGCCCCGATTCTGACTTTTGTTTGCATTGCAACACAGATGGCCTTCTTGGTGCATCATACGGCTCTTTCGCAGGGGTGTTTCGAAGGCCGATTAACAACCCTAGGCAACTGAGCCGACATTAACCTAATTCCCACCTACCCCCGTGGCACAAAAGAAAAGTACGATCAACACAATTTTTGGTTGCTATCATTTTTGGTTTACCCCACCCCACCTGTCCTCCTTCCTTTAGTAAAGGCCGATGTGTCAATAATTAGGAATTTGTAATGCAGGATTAGTGTAGTGTGGCAGCGACGAAGAAGGAACCCGTTTCCAGGTTTGGTGGAACTACGGACTACATCTCCCATGCTCCTCCTCCCGCTCTTCCAGCAGGCCAGCGGTTGTGCTGGAGGAGGGCAACAAAAGCAGTTTAGCCGAAGGTTGTTGCAAGCGCCAACGTCGAGTGTTGGGATGCGTCGAAGTTAGTAGGCTGGGAACAAGCGTACTGTTCATAAATCGCACTCCTCGGTGATGAAGAAGGAACATGTTTCCAGGTTTGGTGGAACTGCAGATTCTATCTCCCATGCTCCTCCCTCTTTTCCTCCTCCAGCACACCTATGCTGGAGGAGAGGAGGGAAAGAAAGCTGTTGAGGAGAAGATTGTGGTGCCCCAGGGTGCAAAAGTCAACGTCGGGAATTGTGACGCACGACGCATCGAAGTTAGTTAATAGAGAGGTTGGAAGCAAGGGTACCCCTTCATAAGTTGCATCTTTCCTCAGATGTACACACAGATCCCCAACTTCCACCTCACAGAGCCCACTCAACAACAATACCCCTCCTTCCACAAATTGCCTTGCTTTTAGGACTCCTTTCGCAGACAGGCCCTCCTCATGTCAGAATTTCCTGCCTGCCGGAGTCCTGCATGTCCGCTTCCGAAGTCTGGTGCTTCTCCATCACCCCCAGAACGTCATCCAAAATAGAGGGTCCCAGATCTACATGAAGGGAGAGCAGGGATCCTGCGTGGGATAAGAAAGATTCTTCTCTTTTCTCCCCCTCGGCAAAGCCATTCAGAGGGGCAGGAGGCTTGGTTTCCTCAAGGGCTTCGGAAGCCCAACCGTTGTTGGCCAGATGTTGAGCGTGCATTTCCGTCGGCGGAGCAGCATGGTCTTTGTCATCCAAGTGAAGACGGGGCGGCTTGGGCGGGGCTTGGGCGGAAGGTAAGGTCAGCGCCTGCAGGCCGCCGATGATCGGTAGAGAAATGGCGTTCTTGAGCAGCGGCGAAGGGATGTCCAACGACAGCGGCTCGTATCCCGAGAGCGTCGAAGTCCGCGAGAACTCGAAGGGCACTACGTAGTGTCGGTTCCCGTCGGCGTCCACCTTCTCTGATCTGGGCAGGAGATGGAACTTGCCTTGAAGGAAAGAGATGTCCCCGAACATGTCGCTCTCTCCCTGACTCCCGATGTGGATCGTGTGCCGGAAATCTCCCAGGGGAGGGCTGATCATCTCGGACGAGAGAATGTCGCGCAGTTTCTCCTTTTTGCCTCGTCGGCTCCCTCGCTTTAGATAGATGGGCACTTTGGTGGCAGCCATCTTGCCCAACACTAGAACGCAGGAGAGAAGAAATGGAGGATTTGAAGGGTCAATGTCAACTTGCAAAGCTTTCAAGTTGCCATGAGCAGGAGGGAGAACTGATAGAGCTGATTGATTTCCCTAACTGAAGTGCATTCCATACATTCTTCCTGACCGTAATCAGAAGGAGGGTGTTGGATTTCACAGCCAGCCAAAATAGTTAATTGGAGAATGTGATTTATGACATGGCCAGAGAGGAGGGGAGAGACAGGATCATAGGGGAACGTAAATCTACGTGGGATTACTTCTAACTGCATCCGAATATTGCCGAAATGGTGCTCCTAATAAATGACTGTATTTCTTTTGAAGTTCGGCTCATGGCTCATGAATTAATTAGGGCATCTTTCGGAAACTTCACAGTCAGGTTGGACCATCAGAAGCTAATCAAGTGGGCAGTTGGAAACGCATAGACCGAGCCCTATCTGTCCAAAACTGGATCCCGCCATGTTTGAGTTTAGTGGTTAAGACTCCAAGGTATAAACCAGGAGACGGTGAGTTCTAGTCCCACATTAGAGATAACAGCCAGATGGATAATTTTGGCTGAATCACCAGGAGATGGTGAATTCTAGTCCCATTTTAGGCATGAAAACAGACTGGGTGACTTCTTAGGCCAATCACCAGGAGACTGGGAGTTCTAGTCTCGCCTCAGGCATGAAAGCCAGCTGGATGACTTTGAGCCAGCCTCTCACCATCAGCCCAATTCACCTCACAGGTGAGGTGTTGTGGGGGAAAATAGAAGGGAGGTGCGTTGGCATAAGTTTTGCCGCCTTGACTCCTTTGCAAAAAACAATAAAGGCGAGATATAAATAAAATAAAATAAAAATGCAAGCGAAACTCACCTCGGAAAGACCAATTTCCCCAAATCTGCTCGGCGCAGAGGGTCTTCGGGGGGGGTTTTTCCCCTTTCGGTGCGAGGCTTTGAAGAAGCCTCGCCTTGTAGATCCACAGGTGTGATGCTCAGCAGGGAAACCTGAGCACCATTCTAACCTTCTGCAGATCAACCAACTCTTGTTCTCGTGCTCGAAAAGTAAACAGAACCTGGGCAGGATTTCAGCCGAGTCCCATCGTCTCAGTCACGTGCAAGGAACTGAAGGGGGAAGAAAAAAATAAACCAGTCCTATGAAATTAAAATAATCACTCAAGGACACAAAAATGAGGAACCAAAATTAATATCATTACATAAATATTGTTATATAATGAAGGATATAGATAGATAGATAGATAGATAGATAGATAGATAGATAGATAGATAGATAGATAGATAGATAGATGGATGGATGATAGATGGAGGCTCTGCCAACGGAGACAAAAGCAGGCATCATGCCACTTGCCTCTCAGTTCCTGGGATTACAGGTAGTCCTTCATTTACAACCCTTCATTTAGTGGCCATTTGCAGTTACAACGGTACTAAAAAAAAATGTGACATGACCATTTTTCATACTTACGACGCTTGCAGCATTCCCCGTGGTCACTGATCAAAATTCAGGCACTTGGCATTTGGCTCATATTTACGATGCTTTATAAGTGGCCCCACAATTTATGGCCAACCCAGGGAAACGAAAACGTGTCGTTAAAACAGCGCAGCCTTTAAATAAGGCATCCAGCGAAGCAAGGGAATAATGAAATCGTGCGACAGCCTCCAATATTTTTTTTTTGGCTGTGGCCGTTAAGCAAAACCACGGTCGTTCAGTGAGACATCACAACAGAAGCCCGAGCTGGGAAGGTCACCAATGGTGATCACGCAACCCTAGGGTGGGGGGGGATGCTGCAACGGTCACAAGTGCGAGGACCAAGTCATTCCCGCCCCCCCGGGCCGCTGCAACTCAGAACAGCGGTGGAACGAAACGGTCGTTAAGTCGAGGACTACTTGTAATTTTCGTTTCCGAGTTAAAGTAAACAAGATTAATCACAAAAACAATGATTATTTTGCACTCGGTGGTAAAACCCTGAGCTGACCTGTCCAGTCCTATATATATATTTTTTTCCCCTGCTTGATTTAAGCTATATTAAGTCCTACCCAGTCTTTAACCGAGATAATTATGGGGTTTTATTTACCTCCAATTATCCTTAGGTTGACTCAGCTCTGAGACGTCTTCCTGGGTGGCCCAGGGTGGCTACCGTCCTTCACCACATCCCTTGCCACTTAGCCCGCCTCTAGAATAACAGAGTGGGAAGGGACCTTTGGAGGTCTTCTAGTCCAACCCCCTGCTTAGGCAGGAAACCCTACACCACTTCAGACAAGTGGTTCTCCAGCATCTTCTTTAAAACCTCCGGCCTCGCAGGCTTGTTGTGCGGAGAAAGGAGCCAGCAAGGAGTCTGCTTGGGATGCTAGTTAACAGGTAGTCTTTGACTTACGGCAGCTCACTGAGTGACCATTCGAAGTTACAACGAAAAAAGTGACTTTATCAACATTTTTCACACTGACGACCGTTGTTAGCATCCCCATGGGTCAAAACTGAGACACTGAGACATTTATGACAGTTGCAGCGTTCCCGTGTGTGTGTGTGTGTGTGTGTGTGTGTGTGTGAGAGAGATCCGCTTTTGCGCTCTCTCTCTCTCTCTCTTTCCCTCTTCTCTTTCCCTCTCTCTCTTTCCGACCCCCCTCTTTCCCTTTCTCTCTCTCTCTCTCTCTCTCTTCCCCTCTCTCTCCCTCTTTAAAATACAGTATTGCAGCCTAACTCTGCCCACCGCCAGGAGTTCGATCCTGACCAGCTCAAGGTCAACTCAGCCGTCCGTCCTTCCCAGGTGGGTAAAATGAGGACCCAGATGGTTGGGGGCAAATATGCTGACTCTGTAAACCGCTTAAAGAGGGCTGTAAAAGCACTGTGAAGCGGTATATATGTCTACGGGCTACTGCTATGGCAAGGAAGCCCGTAAAATGGGGCAAAATCCACTTAACAACAAACATTTTCGGCTCAATTGTGGTCATAAGTCAAGGACTATCCGTGCTCGGATTTGGATGCTTTCGGACTGCTAGCTGGGCAGGAACTGGAGTTCGCCCCGTCTTGTCGAGGTCTCGAACCCGGGCTTTGACACACACTGAGCTATCGCGCCCCTATCTAAAATACGGGGTTGCCAAAAAAGATTAATTTGGGGCCTGCAATGGGTCTCCTTAAGATTACGATGAGAAGCCAACAGCTGTGATTGGAAAGATTTGGCAGGATCCACAATGGAGGAATTGCTCGGGGAACGATGATGGAACTTACCTGAGGGTCTCCTGCTGGGAAAAGAGGATTGGACTAGAAGACCTCCAAGGTCCCTTCCAACTCTTTATTTCATTTTCGATTTTGAGAGGGTCCAATGGGCCCGTGAGACTGGAGAAAACGGCAAGTATCTGCAGTTACGGCTGACTGCAAAGTCCTTACGATTTACGATTTCGATGACTAGACAAGGCTAGATTACAGAAAAGATTACGGAAGAGTTTTGCTGTAACCAATAAAGTCCAAAGTACTCATAATCGTCGTTATAATCGCCGTAAAGAAGCTCAAAAGTTATTTCTTTCGTTTTTACTTTGCCTTTTTCTCTTGCGCTTCTATCTCCCGTTTCATTTTTTTAATATATAAAAATATGTGTGTATATATACACACATATACACACAAACACGTTAAGTATATGTGCGTGCCTGTTTGCACACACACACAAAAAAAACAGATGTAATTGACCCAGAAGGCTGACCCCCTGTGCTTTAACAGTTAATTGAATCCTTTCTTTAATTAAATCTTTTTAATTAAATGTAATTAAAAGCCTTCCTTTATGGTCTGTTCCTTCCTGAACTTTTCTTCACCTAATAAGATCGGAGTTTGAAAAACAGCCATGGCTGAAATTATAACCTGTTGCTCAGGCTATAATCCAAAGGATGGATCTCTTTATTATTCTATTTTTGCGAGGCAAAATTCCCCAGCCAGCCTTCCTTCCCTCTCATCCACCTTCCTTCCGTTATTTTTTCCTTGTATCTTCCTTCCTCTCATCTTCCTTTCATCCATCCATCTTTATTTCCTTCCTTCCCTCCAATCTTTCTTTTTTCCCTTCCTTTTTGTTTCCTTCCTTCTCCCTTCCATTCACCCCATCTTTATTTTTTTCTTTTATCTTCCTTCTTTCTCTCCCTTCCTCTCACTAACCTTCCTTTCTTCCTTCCGTCCATCTTTATTTTTTCCTTCCTCTCTCTCTCCTTCCTTCCTGCCCCACTCCTTCTTTGCCCTATTTCCCTCCATCTCTTCCTTCCTTTACTCTTTTCTTCTAACCTCCTTCTTCCATCCATCTTTATTATTTCCTTCCTTTTATGTTCCTTCCTTCCCATCTTTTTTTCTTTCCTCCTTCCTTCCTCCCTCGTTCCCCTTCTTTTCCCTTCTTTCCCTCCATCTCTTTCTATTCCTTCCTTCTCTCCTTTTCCTCTCACTAATCTTCCTTCCTTCCTTCCATATTCATTTCCTTCATGTTCCTTCCCTCCCTTCCATCTTCATTGTTTCCTTCCTTTTAATCTTCTTTCCTTCCCTCTCCTTCCTTGCTCCCCTTCTTTTCCCTTATTTCCCTCCATCTCTTCCTTTCTTTTCTCCCTTCCTCTCACTAGCCTTCCTTCCATCTTTATTATTTCCTTCCTTTTATGTTCCTTCCTTCCTTCCCTCCCTTCCATCTTTTTTCCTTCCTCTCTTCTTCCTTTGCTCCCCTTCTTTTCCCTATTTCCATCCATCTCTTTCTATTCCTTCCTTCTCTCCCTTCCTCTCACTAACCTCCATCTTTATTTCCTTCATGTTCCTTCCATCTTTATTTTTTCCGTCCTTTTAACCTTCCTTCCTTCCTTATTTTTTCCTTTTTAATCTTCCTTCCTTCCTCCCCTTCTTTGCCCAATTTCCCTCCCTCTTTCTATTCCTTCCTTTTCTCCCTTCCTCTAACCTTCCTTTCTTCCATCTTTATTATTCCCTTCCTTTTATGTTCCTTCCTTCCTTCCCTTCCCTCTTTTTTCCTTCCTCTCTTCTTCCTTCCTCCCTCGCGCTCCTTCTTTTCCCTTCTTTCCCTCCATCTCTTTCTATTCCTTCCTTCCCTCCGATCTTTCCTCCTCCTTCCCAATCTCCTTCCTTTCTATTCCCCCCCCCTTCCTTTTTCTCTGACACCACAGCCAATATTATTCAGATTACAAATCGTTTGTTTTAAGGCCACGGAACAATCCCTTTTTCTCCTCCTTGCTAAAACAGCAAAAGGACATTCTTGCAAAAGAAGCAATCCGGGCCAAACTGGAACCACCCCCGGGCCGCCTGCCAGCTTTGCCAACGTGCCAGGTTAATCTTTTTTAGCCGTTTCCATGCGATTCGGAGGAGGGCACACCCAACGTTTTTTTTTTTTTAACAGCAGCTGCCCTGTAAAACCAACTCAGCCTTCCTTCCTCATCTGACCCAGGTTTATGACCTTACCAGATAGAGAGCAAAAAGATATGGGGTTTTTCCACTGCTATTCTCGGCAGTCCTCGACTTACGGCCTCAATGAAGCCTGGAATTACGGTTAAGTCATTGCGGTTGTTAGGCGGATCACTGTGCAACCCACTATGTGTCTTTTCTTTCTTTCTTTTTTTGCAGTGGTATTATTTTATTATTATTATTTATTAAATTTATATACGGCCCTACTCCTGAAGGACTCAGGGCGGTGAACAGCCAAAAGATAAAATACACATAGTACAAACGTTAAAAAACCATAAAAAAAAAATTGTTAAGTTGTTAAGTGAATCCATTTATCCAATGAGCTTGGGGTTTTTTTTGCCGACATCGAAAAACCGTGGCCCTGTTCGCAAATGGCCGTCCTCAACTTACAACCCTATTCGTTTAGCGGCTGCTCAAGGTTACAACAGCACTGATTCGCAAGCGGTCCTCACACTTACGGCCGTCACGTGATCAAAACCCAGCGACTTGGCAGCCTCCATGTATTTATGATGGCAGTGACCGCCATTTGCGGCCGCCTCAGCCAGTTTCTCGACAAAGCAATGGGGGGGGAGCGACCAGATTCACTTTAACGGCCACTTGAATCACTTAACAACACAGTCATTCGCTTAGCAACCTTGGCAACAACAATGACAAAAAAAGATTTTAAAATTGGGCACAA